GGACGCGTCACGTTAATTTTGGGGGACGCGCACAAACAACATGTGGCAGCCATTTTAAACACGTTTGTGCTGTTAAACATCTAGTATGTCACAGCCCCTAGATTAAGGTCTTAAAAGGACGAACACGCAGCAAGGAGATAAGTTTCATTTTCTGTTTGACCACAGATAAATAATAACGGACACTAGTGGGTGCTAAAAGCAAGCAAACTGCTTAGTATCCCTTTATTTATTTTCACTGAGAACCTCAGTAGTTCCCACCTTAGTGTGGCGCTATTCTTCCTGGGGTCTCCTCCATTTTCTTTGCAATCGTTTTGCCTCAATATCCCCTCTTTTTTAGTCTTTAAGACTGAAAAATAAAAATGTTAGAGGCTGTGGTTTTTTGGCATTAACTGTTTTAGTAATTTTTAAAATGCTGAATCTAAAAATTTTACTGAAATCTGTCAAGCTAATTGAAACCGTAGCAGGTGCCTACGCTGACGCAGCAAATTAACAAATTTGACGACATACGTTTTTGTGCACAAAAAACATCTACTTAATAAATGCTTTTAGACATTGTTGTCAGCTGACATTTTGTTTGTTTTTATTTGTTGAATATTTAAATAGCCAGTTTATTGATTTTAGTGATGCATCGATATGAAATTTTTGGGCCGATACCAGTATCCGATATTAAGATCACTGTTATGGCCGATAACTGATATTTGCCGATACCACTGATTATAATGCTTCTAAAGTCAGCAGATTTTGCATAGAGTAAAAATTATTAAAGCTGAATTGACATTTTCATGTGTACACACCACACACATTTACTCTCCTGAGATGATTACAATCACTGTCACTTGACTAAACAAATACACATCACCCTCTGAAACAAGATGGGAAAAATATCGGCCTTGTTTTATTTATCGATCCAATACCAATATGTTAAAAAATGACTGTCATCGGCCGATACCTGCCGATGCATCATGCATTCCTAATTGATTTATTTGATTAACTTTGGTTTAATGTTGGATCTTAATACTGTTCAACCCTGTTTTTCTGCTTTCAGTCAAACGAGAAACGTGAGGACCGTGATCTTCCCTGTGGTTTATCTCAATGAGGTAAAAACCCACATCTGTTATGTTTATGCAGCCCTATTCTTGGTGCTGGTTTACATTAATGCTACATGAGCAATAAAAATCCAATCCAAACTGATGGAACGAAACTTATTTAGTCTTTTTTACGTACATGCATTCACCTCTATCAGAATAGTTGCTCCACATGAACGTTTTTATCAGAGTGAATTTCAGCATTTTTCACTTATTCATCAGTCAAATGAGCTTTTGTTATTATTATCATTTTTATTCTATAATAGAAAAATAAGCAGTAAAGCAGCTGTTGGTTTGATATTCACAAATAATTTTTTTTATTGAAATCAGTAAAGACAAAACTAAATTTTTAAGGTATAAACTTATAAATACAGATTAAATATTCTTGTATATTATTTTTATGAATTGATCTTTTAGTTGTGCATTTAGTTCAAATTTTTAGCATCAGGGGGCTTTTAAGATGTTTTGCTTTATTTCATTTGTAAAAATTGTGTATAAATATGTGTTAAACTGAATGTAAGCAAAAACCTGGGATTTGTTCTTTGATTTTATTATTGTTGTGTGAGAATCTAAAGTTTTATATTGCTGTGCTTTGATTTACCTTCAGAGTGTTGTTATTGATGACACGTCAGCCCAGAAGCTGCAGATGGTTGTTGTGAAGAAGAACGTTGTGGAGAACATCCCGTTCATGCTGATCGGTCTCGGCATCATCCTGGGAGGAATGTTCGTGATCCTGATGTGTAGAAAGAAAGCCCCAGAGGTGAGCGAGCAGCACCGACCCCATCAGAGAGGTTTGAGTTCGATGCACTAACACACAGGTGTCAAACTCCGGTCCGAGGGCTGCCTTCCCACATGTTTTAGTGTTTTCCCTGTTCCAACACACCTGATTTCAATCAGCAGGTGATTAACAGGCTTCTGGAGAGCTTGATGAGCTGCTGCACAGGTGAATCAACTGGCCCTCGAGGACTGGAGTTTGGCACCACTGTATTAACAGGAAATCAGTGTTTTACTTTGAGTCACCATCCGTAATGGATAAATGTCGACATATAACAAGTTCTGAGTGTGTGATTCTGTTGGAGAAATGATGAAAAATGTCCTGCCATTTTTGTTTTTCAGAGCTCTGCTGCAGAACGTCAACCTCTGCTCTCATCATAGCACTAAGCACCCTGACATAGTCGCGTTTGTACCACAAATCCAACATTTCTGCCATCGGTCTCTAAGCAACAACTAATACTTAGAATATGTTCTAAACCTGTTTTTAACCTCGCGGGTTCAGGCAAATATATGTTCCTGAATTTACTGTTTTTAATGCAAACTGTACTGTTACTGAAATTCATCATTTTAACTAAACACACTATTATAATCATTTCATTTTTACCATAATAAGCAGAACAGAATTATCTACATTTTTTAGGTTCGATAAAGAGATGTTACTGTTGCCATACGTGTGTGTGTGTGTGTGTGTGTGTGTGTGTGTGTGTGTGTGTGTGTGTGTGTGTGTGTGTGTGTGTGTGTGTGTGTGTGTGTGTGTGTGTGTGTGTGTGTGTGTGTGTGTGTGTGTGTGTGTTAGCTGAAGAATTTTTGAGTTTGCCTACGTTTTGTTTCTGAAGTCAACCGTTATTTGATACTGTTAGTTTGAATCTGTACAACTGTTGCACGCAAAGTTAAGAAGATGTTCTTATAGTCTAGTAAAAGTTTTGTTCTGCTTTAGCAAACCCTGTTCTAATAGGACGAGAACAAGATGAGCAGAATTGATTTAGGAGGATAAAGGGAGTTTTTTTACGTGTCTTGGGGGTGGGAAGGGCACGGACACATTTTCTTGCACTTGAGTTTAAATATCTAGGGACCACCTTTGAGCTCCCCCTTGAAATTCGCTTCCCACACTGAGGACATCCTCAGAAAGTGCCAGCAACGACTACCTCCTGAGGAAGTTGAATTCATTTGGAGTCAGGAAGGACATTTTACTGACTTTCGATTATTCTTTTATAGAGAGTATTATCACATTTTCCATCCCCTGTTGGTTTTATTCTGTCAGCCTCCAGTATAGAAACCGTCTACAAAGCACCGTCAAGGTGTGCTCTCGGATCATTGGACTACCACTGCGAAACTTTACTTCTCAGTGACCAGCATACAGGAAGTTTAGCACAGAAAATCATTAAAGACCCATCACACCCTCTTCATACTGTTTTCGAGTGGCTGCCCTCCAAACGCCGACTTCGATGCCCATGCTGTAAAACACAGAGGAGGAGAAGTTCCTTTGTTCCCAGAGCTGTGCTTCTTCTTAATTCTCAGTGCAGATAGGGGGAGTGTGCATTACTTGTATGTGTGTGTATGTGTGTGTGAGCCAAAGGTTTATTCATTGTTGGTCATTCACATGTGAGGTTATGACATGAATGCACACATAGGTTTTATGGGTTTTACAAATGTGTAAATTGGTTGTGTTTTTAGAATTTAGAGATTTTTGTGCCGGCTGCTTCACAATGCTGTCTCGAATTGCCCCTCGGGGACTAATAAAGTTGTCTTGAGTCTTGAGATGAAAAACTCCATCTTGAATTTGGAACTTTGATTTTCAAAAGCTGTTCTAAAACCAGTCTCATAAGTAATGTTTTATTTTGCTCCTCTAATTAATTGTTTCAGCGTTAAGCTTTTCCTCCTATTTGAAGGAAAGGTTTTTATCTTTTGCTGCTCTGTGATTGTTTAAAAAATACAAAGTCTAACTGTTCTAAAGGATTTTGTATTTTTGTTTAAAGATATGTATTACAGGTATCTGCGGGTCCTTAAAACGTCTTAAATTAGCTTTTCCAAATTTAAGGCCTTCAAAATCCTTAAAAATGACAAATAATCCTTAAATACAGTTTCTAAAGGTCTTAAATGTCCAAAGACCCAAAGAACAAGATTCTTTTATTTCTATAAAACTTTCATAAATTTCTAATTGGTGTTCAGCATTTTTTGTGTATGATATTGGCATAAGCGGAACCGTACACATTCAGCTGGTTGTTAAAGGGGGATATTTTCAGATGAGCACATTAGCTGGTTAAGCTAGTGGGAGCTTGCGCCATGGGGAAGTGCAAGTTTAATGGTAACTGGATGGCTAATGCCATGTTCGCGACGTGGTTGGCACCGGTTCCAGGCAATAGCTGGAAATCATAGCTTAAATTTAATTTTAAAAAATTGCTTAAATTTGGTCAAAGTGGCCTTAAAAAGGGTCTTAAAAAGTCATAAATTTGGCTCCCTTAAACCTGCAGATACCCTGGTTTTAGGATCTATTAACTGACAAATATCTTGTTTTTTTTTCTTGTGCACTTCAACACCAATGCTTCATGTAAAAATCTGTATTTACATGATATAAAATCACTGTTCATATACTAAAAACACCATCAAATAAACAGGTGACCACTTAGTCTTGTTTTTTTTCCTTTGGACCAACCAGTTTTTTGTGTAAAACAGCTTTCAGGTTTTTTAATAACTTTTCTTAAATTTTCAATTAACGATAAGTGGTCTGTATTTGATACAGCTCCTTTTAGTGTTCTACAACCACCCAAGACATTTTACAACACAGTCATTCAAACATTCACACACTGATGGTGATAAGCTACTTTGTAGCCACAGCTGCCCTGGGGCTCACTGACAAAAGCTAGGCTGCTGTACACTGACACCACTGGTCCCTCCGACCACCACAAGAAGGCAAGGCGGGTTAAGTGCCCAAGGACACAATTCCAACAGATGGGGGCTCGAACCTGCAACCCGCTGGTTACGAGGTAGGCTCCTAAGCTCTTGGTTCTGGTTTATAGGGCCTTACATGGACAAGCACAATGGTAATCTTCTTAGTCCCTACACCCCCAGCAGGTCCCTGAGGTCAAGTGACCAAAGCCTACTGGTTGTGCAGCACCAGGCTAAAGACCAAAGGTGACAGATCATTTGCTGCTGTGGCCCCCAGACTCTTGACCTCTCTCCCCCCAAGCCTGAAACTCGACGCAAACAGATCCACCATACTTCCCTCACTGCCATCCCCTCACACAGAGCTCCCCAGCCTCTGAGGGAAGCATCTCTGGTCACTACCATACGCTTGGACACCCACCCAGTTGTAGAACCCTACAGTGAAACAACACTGGTTCTCTCCATGAGAGAAGAGCCACTATGCAGGCCCTGGTGATGATTAACGTCATGAACTGATGTAAGGTACAAAGATGGTGAGAGTGGACCAAACGCTGGGAATGCTGCATCCTTAATAGGCAGAGGACTACAGCTAGAGGAAGCCATCATGCCTAACAGCTGTATGACTGTGTGGCGGAGTGACAGTTTGGCTCCCAGCCGGAAACGGACCATGATGCAGTCGTGGAGCGAGACTTATCTGGTTGTCCAAGAGGCACGCCCTGCTTGACCAAGGGCAAATTTTTAGTCCGAGGAAACTTAGCAGGTTCCAACATGGTGCTCATGGGGAGACAGTGGAGCGGTATAGAAAGGAAAGAAAAAGGCAGAAAGCCAAAAGAGCCATGAAAAGATTGGTGGGCACCAGCGTGATTAGATGCGTCTCCAGCCAGGCCTCACAGAGGCGTGATGTCCCGTGGTACCTTTGTTGTACTTTGAGTGAATCGACTGAAAGGGAACACAGCTTTTACATTTTTTTTGGTAAAAAGGATCTTGTTAAGTCAGAAAAACAGAGCCTTTCCCTTTTTTCAGGTGAATGCAATTTGCTTTAAAAAATGATTAATATAAGTGACCATAAGCTTAAGTAGTTTTCTTTTTTCCCTGAATAATTAAGTTTTTATGCATGTTTATGTTGTTAAATCAAAGACATCTGGAGTCAGGTGGGATGGTAATTGTTGTGTTTTGGGCTCTGAAGCTGAAAAGGGTGGGAAACGCTGCTTTAGATGAAACATTCTGTAATCCTACGGATTCCATTCATTGCTCATTTATTACATGTTTGCATCGCTAAGTTGAGCTTAACACCTCGTATAACCCCACTCAAAAGAGACCTAACTATCCCTTTAATGTCTCCAACACCTACAACGTGGAATATAGTCCTAAATGAGCTGATTAAAGAGGACTTTGGACACCCGGAGATAAACTTTGACTTATGATTACCGAGCTGATAAATCTCACCGCTGGGAGAGATTTCTATCTGTGACTTTGTGCCAGACTTTAAGCAACAAGCACAGAGAGTGAAACAGTCACAGGTTAGCTCCTCCCTAACCCAATTAAAGCCTTTAATACAGGTGAGAGGAGACGTGGCACCAACCATCTATCAGACAAGCATCTCTCTCTAACTTAACCTCCTGCAGTGAACATGAGGACGCTTCAGGAAAAAATCATCATCCTCTCTGTTCTGTCCCTAATGTGCATCTCTCAGGTGGGCTCATCTGTATGATGTTTACATTTTTTCTCCATTGCAGACAATTTTTTTAAATAAATGTTCTTGAATTTGCCTCCACAGGTGAATGCACTACCTGTTCCCGATGACTGGAACAACTTGATCCACCGAACCAAGCGATCCCTGCTGTGGCGCTGGAACAGTCTGAAGCCGGTAGGATCCAGCTGCAGAGATCACTTGGAGTGTGGAACAAAGAACTGCAGGTAAAGCTGAGTTTTACACAAGAAAGCATCATGCCCAGTTCCAACTTTGATAGAACTGTTTGAAAGTTGTGTTTATGTGCATTTTGCATGTCGCTGGCAAATTCAGAAAAACAAAGCTGCTATTGAGTTACTTCTTATATTTTTTTCAGGAAATACATCTGTTGCTTCTGATGTTCTAAACTGAAAAAAGACACACAGACCTATTTCTGTCAGGGGAACAACACAACAAAAATCTTCATGGACCAACTTACTGTTCTTTGACCAGCTGTCTCGGTGGGAGTTTTTTCGACCCTGCTTGTACGTTTAACTGGAGCAAAACAAAATAACAAAGCTGTAAAAGCTGACAACGCGTGGGTCAAATGTCATCTTTAATAGTTGTTTTCTGCAACATCAGGCAGGCTGTGTTATCTGAGTGTGTGTTTTGATAAGAAAATACAAGCATCCAGTCTAAGTTTGTGAGCTGTGAATTTATTGGATTATTTTGTTTTTATTGTGTATTTATTTGTATATTTTGTAAATGATGTAAATATTCAAATATACTAACACTCTTTCAAGAAATTGGATTCCTTGATCTCCTCTTTTCCCCCTAAACTGTACAGAAAATAAAAAAATGTCCTCAATCTCTTCAACTCTTTAAAATGAGCAGTATGTAAGAATGACATACTGTGGTTAAATGTGGCTACTGTCCATTTTCTAAGCAACAAGACCCTCTCTCCCTCCTGTTCACGAGTCTCCTGGCCATTGCCAGTTACGAATCAGCACCAGAAGATTCTAGATGACAAGCAAAAACAAGTCATAAGCTGATGAGTAGATAAGTGCATTGCCATATACTTGATAAATAAACAGAATGGAGGTTGAAAGGCTGGCGTCCTGCTGCAGCCACAACAACTTGGTGTCAAATGCACAGAAGACAGCAGAGGTTGTTGTGGACTTTATGTCGCCCCCCATAACCATGACACTTCCATCACGGTGGTGGACTCATGTCGCTTCCTGGGCACCACCATCACCCGGGACGTCAAGTGGGAGCCCACCATCACCTCCGTCATAAAAAAGGCCCAGCAGAAGATGTACTTCCTAAGGCAGCTGAAAAAATTCAACCTACCAGTACAGTCGATGCAGCAGTTCTACTCTGCAGTCATCAAGTACGTTCTCACCTCTTCAATCACCGTGTGGTATGCTGGAGAACTGAAATAGGGGAACCACCACCCCGGTCTGCCAATCCAGTGGAACTGCCACCAATGTCCACGCAATACTGCAGAGCCGCGTCAACCAACACAGCTCTACACCATCCAGAGCCTTAAGGAACTCTGCGTGTGTCTCACCCACCCCCGGGACCTTGCCACCAAGGAGCTTTTGACCACCTCAGTGAGCTCGGCCCCAGAGATTAGAGAGTCCAACCCAAAGTCCCCAGACTCTGCTTCTTCACTGGAAGACGTGCCGATGGGATTAAGGAGGTCTTCCAAATACTCCGCCACTGATCAACAATGTTCCGAGTAGAGGTCAGCAGCACTCCGCCCTCACTGTAAACAGTGTTGGTAGCACTGCTTTCCCCTCCTGAGACGCTAGATAGTGGACCAGAATCTCCTTGATGCCATATGGAAGTCTTGCTGCATCGTCTCACCAAACTCCTCCCACGCCCGGGTTTTTGCCTCCACGACCACCCGAGCTGCATTCTGCTTGGACTGCCACTCATCAGCTGCCTCTGGACTCCCACAGGCCAAAAGACTAGATAGGACTCTTCAGCTTGACAGCATTCCTATTCGCCGATGTCCACCAGCGGGTTCATGGGTTGCCACCACGACAGGCACTGACGGCCCTGCAGGCGCAGTTCCGGTCAGCCACCTCAACAATGGAAGCATGGAACATGACCCACTTGGTCTCAATGTCCCCTGCTTCCCTGGGGACATGTTCGAAACCCTGTCGGAGATGGGAATTGCAGCTCTTTCTCACAGGAGACTCCACCAGACGTTCCCAGCATACCCTCACAATACGTTAAAGATGTTTAAGTATTTGAATTTTGCAGCAAATTAAATGTTTATTGAAATATGTCAAGCCTTTGCTGGAAATGGAAGATTTCAACAGAATGCACAGGAACCATGCCCCTCCTCCACACCCCTCTACCCCCACCTGCACCCCTTTGCTGGAAAGTGAACACACATCTTTCATCTGAATATTTGTAAAGCTATTTGTTCCTTACGTTCATGCATGCTAGCACCAACCTGCTCACACAGACACATGTCAAACTGCCATTTTCAGAATGAGCTGGTCTTTTTTCAGTAAAGACTGATTTTTTGGAGGAACACTGTAGAAACACAATAACCAAAAACTCTGAACTCACACATACAAATTATTGTATGGCATCTCTAAATAACACACAAAGCATTTTTGTGTGAAATTTGTATTTTAATATCCAGTCAGAGGTAAAATAAATATAATCAAATTCTTTTATTTGAATGCAGTGTCAGTCCTTGCGCTCCTATATATGAGGTGAATGTGCAATCTAGTGGGAAACATTAAATAATAAAAATAAACATTGAATGTGTGACTGGTCTGGGAACCCAGACAGAATAATAAAAAAAGGGAAAGATGGATCGCAAGATGGATAGGCGGATTGGTGCTGCGTCTGCAGTGAGGCGGGCGTTGTACCGGTCTGTAATGGTGAAGAGAGAGCTGAGCCTGGAGACAAAGCTCTTGATTTACCGGTCATTCTACGTTCCTGCCTAAGGTCACGAGCTTTGGGTAGTGACTGAAAGAGCGAGATCTCAGATACAAGCGGCTGAAATGAGTTTTCTCCACAGGGCGTCTAGTCTCACCCTTACAGATAGGGTGAGAAGCCTGGTCATCTGGGAGGGGCTCGGAGAACATCCGTTGCTCCTCCACATCGAGAGGAGCCAATTGAGGTCGCTTGGGCATCTGGTCAGGGTGCCTCCTGAACACCTCCCATGAGGTTTTGTGATTCAATTAATTTCAAGTTTATTTATATAGCGCCAAATCACTACAAGAGTTATCTCAAGGCACTTCACATAGTAAACATTCTTAACCGCTGGGCACGTCCAACCAAGAGGAGACCTAAAGGAAGACACAAGACACGTTGGAGGGACTATGTTCTCACAGCTGGCCAGGGAACGCTTTAAGGTTCTACCAGAAGAGCTGGCTGGGGAGAGGGAAGTCTGGGTCTCTCGATAGGCTGTTGACCCCGCAACCCACTTCCAAATAAGCAGAAAAGAATGGGTGGATGTATGCTAATATGTAGGCTTATTAGAATATATATATATACATACATGGGAGCCAATGGCACACAAAAATATATGCTAAATCAAAAATATATTCTGCATTAAATTACATGGTGTAAGTAAATTAAAAATGTATATATTTTGGCAATTTCTCAAAAAATACACATCCTGCAAACAATAGATAAATTGCAAAGCAAAGAGTATTCACAACAACACACCTGTCTGCGCAAAATAAAGCACCAAGAGTGCAAAAGGGTTAAACCTTGAAACTTGTAGTGAAAGTCCAACAACTGAAGCATGTAAAGAAATCATGAAAATTTAGAACTACAGTTAAAACATTTTAGCTGTTTTATTGTTTTCTTTTCTTTTTTCATTTTTGCGCGTTTCTACCTTGTGTCTTGGATACGTTTAGGTGCTGAATCCTCCGTCTCTTCTGATTGGCTGAAGCCGCCGTGACGCAGCATCTCGTCCAGCCTGAAGGGTGCTAAGGCTGCGTTGTGGTGGGGACCCGGTTCGGTATCGGACCGGTCTGTCTCACCATAAGATCCGTTTATACGGAATAGAGAACACACCGAGTTTCTGACTAGAGGGTATCTTAGCTGAGGCTCAAACGTTTTCCCCCAAAAGCTTTTTACATAATTTAGGATCAAATGAGCAAGAAGAGGATGGATCCCCTCTACTGATGGCTGATTTAAAGTAGGTTTGTTTGTTTATAAACGTTTCCGCAAAGATATGACCAGTTATTTATTTATTTGTGTTTTTTCCCCCCATCCCCTTTTATCGTTGTGTGCTACTAGATTTTTGCATTTAAGTGCATGCGCTTTCCATCTTGTTGGCAAGCCTGTTTCCTTCTTACAGTAATTGTAAAAACACTTGAGACCTAATGTTTTTTACCGTTGCAGAGAAAATATAGATCTAGATGTGACCAGATCAACTTAACCAAATGATTCGATTAAGCAAATACAAAAAGTATTTAGTTCAAGCTGTGTGAGAAAATTTAGATTTTGCTGCTTCCATGGACATTTAAAGAGCAGATAGCCAGCTGATGATGATATGTTTCACACGATTAGTGATAGTATCTGTAAAACAAGATGTTTCATAGTCTGGTGCGTCCAGGTCGGTGTTGATGGAAAGGTGAAAAGACAATTAATATTCTTAGAGAAGCAGTTTTTTCACTTCCAAACAAACTGGCGTCCATCATTCTCCAGTAAAAGAATAAAGATTCACAAGGAGGAAAAAATTCATGATAGCTGCTGGGCTTCCCTACAAAAGGATGTTTCCACACATTTACCCAAATGTAAGATGCTTGGAGAGATGGTAAAATACTCAAGAGTGACAATTCACACTCTGCAGACCTCATTTATCATGATGAAATGTTTATGTTGTAAAATTATTTATCCTTGAGTCAAAATGTCCCCTTGCAATTTTCTCGTTGTTGAGTGAAGTCAGATAACAGCCAGCCCCAGACTCTGCTTTTATATAACCATGTGCCCTTCCATCACATTAAACAACAGCCTTGAAGTTACAAACATCCAGAGAAACTGTTCACTTTATCATCTAAACTTCTGCATGCTCCAGTGAGAAGGCTGTTCAGCAGACCGCCGATCTCTACGCTGGCCTACTTTCTGAGGGATTTAAACAACTGGAGATGAGTAGGAGGAGAATTCAAGATTCTAAAAGTCTCGTCCCACCTTATCACCACTGTAATCCTGATTAGGAAAAGGAGAAATAAAAAGGCGATTTGATTTAAAGATGTAATATAATACAGACATTTCAGGTAGAAATGTCTGTATTATATTACATCCTCTGAAGCGCACACACACACGCACGCACGCACGCGCGCGCACGCACACGCACACTCACACGCACACGCGCGCGCACGCGCACACACACACACACACACACACACACACACACACTGTGCCTTAGGAAGACCCCGACCCTCTAAAGCCCAACCTGTTCTATTTATATGGAGGCTTCAGCTCAAAAATTGTTCTTCAGCTCCTGCAACTCCCTTAAACTGTTAATGCTGCAGAAACCTTCCACGTCTGCATTTAGCCAAGGCAGTGAAAGACAAGAAAACAGCCCAATCGTAAAATCTAATTTTGAAATCAACGTGACAACCTAAAACAGTAGATGTTAAAATATGTTTTAAATGCACAAATAAAAGTTTGATCAAATAAAAGTTTGATCAAAAAAAATTTAAAAAACAAAGTTAAAAGGTGCAGCCATGAACGAAACTGTCAGCAAGCAAGGTAGAAAGAAACCTTTTCTGTGTTTTCAAAAAGAACCAAAAATGGATTTCAAACGTGCAGCATTAGAAACCATCACTCAAAGGCAGATGAATCTATTTTCTATTTAAATTTGAATTTTAAGTGATAATGTGTATTTTCTCTGGCAATAGGGGGCAATACAAATCAAATCAGATTTTATTTATGAAGCGCTTTTCAAGCAAAATGCAACTCAAAATGCTTTACAGAATTAAAATGACCCCAAATTCCCATAACTGTTTCAAAACATTAACACACACACACACACACACACACACACACACACACACACACACACACACACACACACACACACACACACACACACACACACACACACACACACACACACACACACACACACACACACACACACTAGTAAAAATGTATATTCGGCTGAGTCCAGATGAGCCAAGTAAGGTAAGGCTAGGAAACGCCATCAGAGGAGCCGTCTGCCCCGGCAGCATCAGGTCTTCCACAGCAACTAAGTCAGGGCGCTCAGAGGAGGGGGAGCATAGACCCCCACCTCCACTTAAACACTACCTGTAGAGCCCCCAGGAAGCAACAGTCGACCACCGCCCCTGGGGCAGAGGGCCCCTACAGAGAAAACACTGGATTAAAATGAGTAAAAATATGAAAATATAAGAGCTAATATAAATGACAAATGTAAGAAAATAAATTATAAATAAAATCATATGGACAGTCAAATAATATTATTATTAAATAATGAAACTGTGCTAAAATATGATCATATAAAACATGCTAAGCAAGCAATAACATATAATCATGTAAAACGAGAAATAAAACTATAATAAATAATTAGATGAAGGCTAACCTAAATAGATGGGTCTTGAGCCTGGACTTAAAAACATGAACGTTCTCAGTGGCCCTGAGGTCCTCCGGCAGATCGTTCCAGAGGCGAAGGCTGTAATACTGGAAGGACGCCTCGCCGTGAGTGTGTGTCCTGACTTTAGGGATGACCAGGAGACGCCTGCCAGAGGAGCGCAGAGGCCGTGAGGGTTCACATGGTAAAAGCAGTTCTGAGAGATAAGAAGGCCTAAGACCAGTAGGACACTTAAAAACCATTAGAAGAACCTTAAAATTGATCCAGAAACATACAGAGAGCCAATGCAATGATTCTAAAACCAGTGTAATGTGCTCCCGCCTCCTGGTCTTCATCAGGGCACGTTCCACCGAATTTTGTAGATACCTAAATCGTTGCAAGCAAGCGGTATTTCAGTGGCCCAATCCCAATACTCGCACTTCCACACTTGCATCCTTCAATTCTGCAATCCCGACCAGGGGTGCGAGTGTGTGGGGTGTCCCAATTCTCAAGTACAGAAGTTGATCACGCCCTTTTGCGCCCTTGATTTCTTCACCCAATGATGACTCACCCAAGTCTGCATCGATGAAGACTTGGGTAAAGGGTTTTACCCATAATCCATTGCAGTGGGAGACAAGGCCCAAGTGCCTTTTCTGAAAATATTTATTTTCTAATTAAAGTTGTTCATTTTAGGACGAATAATTGATGTTCTGAATGTTTTAGACAAAGCAGCAATAAATGTAGATTTATTTCAAATAATTGTTTGCTTGTTTGATCGTCTCATTTACAACGGCGATCTGGCTAAGAGGCAGCAGCAACAGACACATAGTAACCTTTACATCAAAGACAAACAGGTAAGATAAAAACCAACAAGATTAGAATAAGATAACACAATTAAACATAAAGACAAAGGACTGTTCTCATTTATATGTACAAGCAATCAAAACAGACTTAAAACAGTCTTTAAGTAATCAGAAGCACATTGATCAGAAACTATTCATTGCAATGAATTATTGAAGTTAGATAATGGAATGTAGGTAGTGAGCTTTTGTGATTTTTGCAGCTCATTCCAGTCGTTGGAAGCATCAAACTGGAATGAGGAGCGGCCAAAGGAGGTGCAAGCTTTGGGAATGACCATAGACATTAAGTTACTGGAACATAAATTGTGTTGGTTGTTGGAAGTGATGAGCAATGAGAGAAGATATGTTGGTGTTATACCGATGATTGTTTTGTATATGAACTGATACCAATGTAACACCCTGCAGGAATGGACATCGAGCTTATGAAAAAGTTTTTTGGAAGCATTCCTATAAATGATGCCACTGTAATCTAAGATGGGAAGGATTGTCATTTTTACAATCCCGGCATGCGCTGCAGTCGATGACGCAATGCTCCCTGCCCCAATTCTGCAATTATTTGCACACTTGTGTACCATGCACTCGAAGCCTTACTGCACACTTTCTCCAAGTGCTCTTCACAGAAGACCGTAGAGTGCAGTGTGAGTGTTTAGGGTTGGGCTCGTGTCCATGTAAGACCTTACCAACGGATGGCCATTAGGGTCAAAAATCCCTGGGAGAGTAACCTCCAGCAAAATGACGAGCACATCAGACTCCCTTTCATCACTGGCATCAAGCGAAGAGGTAAATGTGTAAAACAACATCTATGAATGGAGAAAGTTTTGTAACCGCTTGTTAAAAATCAGTAAATGTGTTTAGTCCTCACAGGCTCACATAGAAGAAAACATGGCGTTGCCTAGAGACTTAGACCCGCTCCCATGTAATGTAGACCCTATTTTTATGGTTAAATGTTACAAAGCCGCCAATAATTTCCAACAACTGGGCATCATTTCCTTTATTTCGAACAACATTTGAATGGATATTTCCAGAGATTAAAGGTAAAAACTACACATTGTCTCTTTAAATGTTACCAGAGTTTGGGGCACATTTCAGGTCAGGAAACCGGTTCCGTCTGTGTGCAGCATGGAAGATAAAAACAGCCAGAAACATGTTTCTGTTTCTTAGATTTTAATGTGAATTGTGGCCACAGGGAAGAATTTAATTGGTTAAGTTGTGTTTGTTCGAAAACGGCACCATTTTGGAATGAGAACATTATTGTAAAGGGTTTTTCTGACTCTGGAAATGCTGCTTACCGACCCCAGAGCAGGGATGCTGTCTTCGGGACACAAACTGAAGAATGTAGGAAGTCTGGTGACAAACAGAAGTGCAGAAGTTGCTTTTCTCCTCTATGTAAGGCTGTTTCAAACCATGTCTGTTGCTGTGTTTTATCTGTTTGCTTTTTTCATGCTGAATGTTCTGAATGCAGTACTTGATTGACCTGAGGTAATGTGTGAGAGTATTTACATCTTAGCGGTGCCAGTGGAGCGTCTCTGCAGTGCAGCTGCCCCAGTTACAGAGCAGCTGACAAACTATGGGAGACGGTGGTTGGCCCGAGCAGGCAGAGGAGGGCTTTATTATTAATTGACTGAATTATGGAGTGTGTGCCGTGGGGCCAGAGGCGAACAACACATGAGGACTCCAAGCACGGCGGGTGCAGACCGTGACAGCGGCTCGCTTTACTTTTTTCTTTAGTTGCGATGGTTTAGTTGGAATGTTTGGTATTCAAATTTTCACGTTTTCTTTTGAAGCACCAGGAACTCTAATTAGGTCTCTGGGGCGATGGTTCTGTTGCGTCCAAAACTGGAAAATAACAATGTTAGCAACACGTGCTGTGTTTACCCCTGAATCTGTTTGAGTAATGAGGCTTGAATCACAAAGACTCGTGAGGCTAGAAAATGACAAAAAATGATTGAAACCTAATTTTACAACATTTTCTGTTCAAGAGTTCTGTTTCAAAGGAAAGCTCTTGTTAAATGCAACATCTCAGTCCATCTTTTGAAATTGTACCTTTCTGCTGCTACTAACTAACTTACTCTTTCATGTGGTTGTAGGAAGATGGGAACATAGTCCATGATCCAGCGTACTCCAGCAGCATGATTGGAGCTTCATCCAGTCTCTCTGGTGACACCCTGATAGCGTGCCACTTCCCTGTGGTGCAGCTTCCCACCTGGCAGCTTCCTGTCCGGACCCCGTGCAGCTCAGCCAAGAGACCTGGCCGGCTGTGCTCCGCAGGCCTGACCCGGGCTGCCTCCCTCCCAGAGCAAGCCACGCTCAGCCGAGAGTATCCCTTCGCAGGTGGAGGAAGACGTTTTTCCAGCAGCTACGGTATTCTCAATGAAGATCGGGCAGAAGAGGAAGGAACTAGCGACAGCAGCGGGCGGGACGACTCCACGTCATCACCAGAGGAGACTAGTTCCCACCTGAGGAAGGAAAACACACAGCTGCGCTCACACAACTCATTCCTTCCTAACACAGAGCTAGAGGAGGATGAGGATAGTGATGGAGACAATCTCCACAGATATCACGAGGATTCATCTTTTGTGTTACATGGTATGTCCAACTGGTCACTTAGTAATGGTGATGTAAACTACACACTGCCTGATGGGGACATGGACAGCGAATGGGGCAATGAAGGGATGATGCTGGGGATGGAGAGGGAGCCGGACGTCCAGATGGACTCGCTGCTGCGTGAGTGCCAGTTCCATGTGAGCAGATCCGGCACCAGTCTGACCTCTTGTTTGGAGCAGGGCTCCGTCAGACTGCAAGAAAACATGTCCCGCTGCATCTACAGCCAGCACAGATGTTCCCCAGAGCTGCCGCCCAACAGCGACTCCTCCTGCAACAGCTCTGACGGTGTTTTGGTGAACTTCTGCACCATCTACAACAAGAGCAATAACCCTGCCACCCCCCATGATCTCAGCAACCCTGCACTTCACCCCTCCCACTCATCTGAGGGATCTGTGTTCCTCAGCCTTCAGCCTGTTCCTCAAAGCGCAGCACACGCCGACATGGCAGTGTCCTCCCACCCACAACAGGACGTTGACATAATTCTCTCTGGGTCCTGTTGTTCTTCTCAAGGCCTGGACTCCAACTGCAACCTCTACTCTCTGGAGCCTCCTCCTCCAGGTCTCTCCTCTCTAGAAGTTTCTGATCTGGCTGCTTGTCTGCAAGGACAGGCCTCCCTGGCCATGGAGGCCAACCAGAAATACTACAAGCTAGTGACTTGTGACCTTTCCTCCCAGTCACCCAGCCCTGCCTGGTCCAGCCTCACCAGCTGCCTGCCCGAGGGGCCAGGCAGAATCAGCCCCTTCCTTCCTCCTGTCGACTCTAAGAAAGAAGTACAAGATGGTGAAGTCAAGAAGGTAGGCTGGAAAGAAGTCATCTCTAAGCACTTTTTATTTATTAGTACCAAAATATATGCATATTAGCTCAGATATACAGAAATTAGCTACAAATAAACAGAACCTCGCTTAAATATTCAGAAATTAACTAAAACAGACAGAAGTTTGCCTACATATACAGAAAGTATATAAAACATACAAAATGCTGTACTGTGCATGCTTTCTGGGTGCTCTAATGTTGGTCAAAGTATGCAGTTACAGATGCAAATCAGTTCGATTCTGAGAAACGAGGATCACATCTGCACTGGAAGCAGATCAGTAAATCAGAAAACAGAAAATGAGCTATCATCACATTTCACTGCTGATGTTGACAGCTCTCTGTTTTCTTTTACAGGCATGTGATCACCCCGTTGCTACTACCTCCACTGACAAAACCCTCAGTTGGAGGCAGCATACAGACAGCGTGCAGATCCTCACCCACTCTCCCGTTCTGTGTAGCTCACAGAGCAGGAGACGCCGAGAGGCAGGAGCCAGATCCACTCAGCCATCTGGGTCTAAAAAGTATCACCACCATGATGCAGATGACAGAGGTAGGAGAGAAACAGGATTTTTGTTGCAAGAGAATATTAAAAGCACATTCCTACTTTATTAGTAATTAAATCTAACGCATATAATTGTTTGTTTTTCTCTTTGTCAGGATTGTCCTCCTTACACAGTAAGCCTCAGAGGCCCACCTCGCTGCCCATCCAGCCGTTTGTTCTGGTCCCCGCCGGAAAACCACAGCACCTGGGGGGGCTGCTGGAGCAGTACATCAGTCATAAAAGCAGCAAGCCTGGCAGCTCCCAGAATGGCCTCAAATTCAAGGGGAAAAGTAGCCTGTGTTTGTCTGACCTTAATTCGTCACAAACAGGAAGCAACGGCCTCGTATTCCTCGAGGCTTCGTCCAGCTCGGACACCTGCTCCACCTGCACTCCGAGTCCACAGCGTCCAATCCGCAGACACACATGGAGCCAGTTCAACAAAAATCACGGCTCCCCAAACACATCAGGACCCAGCCTGGACCCACAGAACGTTAAAGCCACGACTCTGACGCTAAATAAAGCAAGTTCACATGGTGGCAAAACTAACAATCAGTCCAAACTTGTGAAGATTCCCACATGCCAGGACCTAATTTACTTCTCCTCTGAGTCTGAACGTCCAAACGAGTCCACCATCAACCCTGCATACCACTTGACTAGCCCACCAGGACCCCGGTCACCTCTTAAAACCACACCGCAACTGAAGCTCCATCGTGCTGCTCCTGTAGCTGACCCTGGGTTGTTCCACAGCAGTGTTAAAGCTGCCCTCTCTGCAGTGGCTCCTCTCTCCTCCTTAAGCTCCTTCCTCTCCTCAGCCACTTCAGGCCTGCATCCCCAGATAGTCCAGGGCACCGCTGGGCTCGGTTCTAAACAACATCAGAGCCAGTCTCTCATTCTGAGTGACAAGCCTCCTGCAGAGTTCTGCCTTTCCCCCGACACATCGTATGAGTCCATGTCTATCAGTCATCTTCAGAGAAAAGGTGAGCATCAACTCTCTACTGATGCACCTCATTATCTCCTACAAAGGATGGGTTATGGCTGAAACTGTAAACCAGTAGCATAGAAACCAGACCCCTGCTTGTTTGAGTCATCTTGCTAGTGATGAGCTGTTGAGAGAAGCAATAGACTCTCACGGTGCTGCAGCTCTGCCTTCAATACCCTGAAGGGGCTTCCTCTCAAACATGACCTATTTTTAACTCTCCCTGCACAGGATTGGTTCAGCTCTGTAGCCTGTGTGTGTGTGTGTGTGTGTGTGTGTGTGTGTGTGTGTGTGTGTGTGTGTGTGTGTGTGTGTGTGTGTGTGTGTGTGTGACTAAAATCTCCAAGGAAGTGATGCAGTGGTGCTAATATTTTATATCACACCCAATCATTTTGTTTGAATGTGCCCATGTGGGCTACTTAATGTAAAGCTAATCAGATAAATGTGAATATTTTAGAGCGTTTACTTCAGGATGGTTGCATCTGCAGCCGTGGTCTGGTGGTGTGGCGCTGCAGGCGGCGCCAACACGCATGAAGAATTTACCGTGACATTTGCATGGACGAGTCTGTGTGAGATGAAGAGGGAGAGGCAGAGCAAAGCAAAGGCAACCCTACTGGAATTGGAAAACTGACTTTTCATGTTTCTGTTCCTGCACAACGATAATGAACTGCGAAAGCAGTCAGATTTATTTCTGTGCACAGAAGCTATAAAAGAGGGGAAAGGCACATTTCTTTTAGATAAAAACAAGAAAAGAAGAAATCTGCAAAGATTGTAACCAGAATAAACTATTATTGTTAAAGGTGTCCTATATTTTAAAGCCTAATTTACCTTCTTGTTGTTGAATATAGGCAGCTAGGCATGTCTTATGTAGCATTCCAAGTAGCCTGTGCTGTCTCCGACCTGCTTTCCTTGGTAATTTAGTAATGTTGTAAAGGCCATGGAGAAATGGTTCATTCTGAAAAAAGCTGATTAAACATCATGCGTTTAGACAAGCAACCTTAAATTAGCATGAAGAAGAAGTAAAGATATTTTCTGTAGCGCCTCTCAAGATAAAAATCACGAGGCGGCTTCACAAAAACAAAAAATGTGAAAATATAAAAAAGAATTTAGAAAATGATTAAAAATATTTCATATGAGCAAAAAATAGACAATTGTGATTAAAAATGTAAAGAAAAAGAGAGAGTGAATAGGAAAGAGTGAAATCAGAGGATCCTGAGAAAGGTGGAATAGGTAGGGAGAGCAGAACAAGGAGAGGGTGATTGAGGTCACACCAAAACCAGCTTGAACAAGTGAGCTTTCAGCTGCTTTTTAAAGGAGTCCACTGATCTCAGGCTCGGGGAGAGAGCTCCAGAGTCTGGGGGCCACAGCAGCAAATGATCAGTCACCTTTAGCCTGGTGCGCTGCACAACCAGTAGGCTTTGATCACTGGACCTCAGGGACCTGCTGGGGGTGTAGGGACTAAGAAGATCACCAATGTAAGATGGTGCTTGTCCATGTAAGGCCCTAAAGACCAGAACCAGGATCTTGAAATGAACCCTGAAGTTGACTGGCAGCCAGTGAAGCTGGAGGAGAAGCGGGGTGATGTGGGTGTGTTTGGAGGACTTGGTCAGAAGCCGAGCACAGGCATTCTGAACCACCTGTAGACGGTTCAGGGAGGTTCTGCTCAGACACATGAAAAGAGAGTTACAGTAGTCTAAACGTGAGGAGATGAAGGTGTGGATAACTGTCTCAAGTTCAGAGCGGGACAGAATGGGACTCAGCAACGTTCCTGAGATGGAAGAAGGAAGAGCGAATAAGAGAACTGACATGAGAAAACGAGCATATCTCAGTTAGCATGTCTGCTAATCACAGAACAACTCTAGGCTGAGCTACAACTAGCGCTCGCCAGAGCTACTGGCAATCGGGTGACCTGTCTGTTTGCCACACCCCCAGTGCCGTTTTGGGTGTGTGACTCACGTTGCTAAGGTAAGCTGCAGTTAAAGTTGAAGCAGTGCAAAAGTCGAAAGAGTTTAAAAAAACAGAAACAAACCAACTCTTACAGGAATAAACTTGTGAAAGAGTAAGAGGATTTGTATTTTGAAAAACTGTTTACAATCAACAATGTGGATTCCTACAACCTCAGAGGAAACAAACTGAGCTCTTGACGTTTCATTACTGCCCAAAACATATCACTGAGTAAACGTAGAACTACTTTTACATATTTATAATCAAGTAAAAGTAAAAAGTAGCCATCTAAAAACATTACTCCACTAACACAGTCGTTGCTTTTATTTCTGCAAGCCTTAATAAACAAGTTACAAGCAGACGGAAACAATACCTACATGCAGAGGGCTTGTTTGTTTTCATTTTGACAACAGGGTTTTAAAAAATGGTCATCATCATTCCCTCCCGTCATTTTCATTTATCAAATAATAATAAATAAAAATTCACTTTTTTTCTTTTTTTTTCATTTATATTTTGTCTAAACAAACTGACCAGCATGTCCAGCAACATATTAATGTCAAAAATAAACAATTTAGCTTAAAGTAAGAACATTTTACCTGCTGTGTTCTGATTCCGCTGCTGGGCTGTGACCCACCGACACGCTCTGAGAGGTTCTCACAGCTCCTCGGCACGCTGAGAGCGAGCTGCACTGATCATGGTGTCCAGGCCAGAGATAATGCTCAGATGTTCTGATGGGAATCTTTTCATGACTGATTTTTTTTACCTCTACGATGTTCCCTGTGCGTGACTTTTAAAATGTCTGCACACCTGCATGCATTGGCGTAATTCCAGTCTGTCAGAATGACCAACAGCTATGAGATTTTTTGGCAAAAAAATTTAATGGTTAAATACAAAAAATATCCAGTTAATGCGACCTCGGCCTACATTTAACTTTTTTTGCCTTCTTGTAAAGATAGCAAGGCAGCCCTTCACAGTTTAACAAGCTCACAACACGTAAAGCCGACCGATACTTTCATTTGTTATACACCCAGCTATCCCATCATGCAGAGCGCTACAGCACCCGATGCGTCATCTGACAAGGGCCAGTGCTAGCTTGAGCTACAGACTTCTTGTTGATAAGCTGCAGATAAATGATGTTGTGTTCAGTGACCATAAGTCAGTTTCTTTTCATATCAACCTAAATTCTGAATCTCTTTTACCAGACTCTGCCAAGCAACGACGTATTATCAACAATTCTACCATTTTAAATTTCTCCTCCCTCTCTGACTTTGTACCTTCTTCCTCTGATGACGTAGAGCTCCTTACCAACTCATTTAATGATCACTGCCTCAAAATTCTAGATCAGGTCGCCCCTTACAAAACCAGCCGCAGTTCCAGTGCCTCCAGTTCTCCCTGGCTGAACAACCAGATTCTTGATCTTTGACACTCCTATAGAAAAGCGGAACGACGGTGGAAGAGGACAGGTTTGGTTGTCCATCGCGAATATTTTAAAGAACTTCTTGAGTCATACAATGAAGCTGTAGAAAATGCCAGGTCTTCTTTCTTCAGCAACCTCATATGTCAAAATAAGAATAAACCTAAGGTTTTGTTCGATACCATCTCCAGCATCGTGTCTTCTTCTCCGCAGCAGGCTCAGCTATCTTCAGCTGATGATTGTAACAGATTTCTCCACTTTTTTGCAAACAAGGTGCTGAATCTGAGATCCAGCATTCCACCCCCCCCCCCACCCCACCCCACCCCCACCCTCAGGAGGGGAGCCCCCTCAGTGCTCCGAGTCTTTCACCTCCTTCTCTCCAATTACACTAAATGACTTAACCTCAATAATCAGTCAGATGAAACTCTCATCTCCTATTTTCTATTTTATCACTGCTGTTGTTTTTCAGATGTTTTTATTGGTTAGAGGTATTTGCCCTGATCTTTATCATGTTGTACAGCGCTTTGTGATTTATATCTGTGAAAGGCGCTATATAAATAAACTTTTACTTACTTACTTACTTACTTACTACTGCTAGTGTCCTTGTTGGACATTCTAGCAAGAACTGGCATTATCTACACTAAGACCCACATCTTAAGGTCCGGTCTGACAGAGTAAGGCCAAACACTTCCTCATTCGCAACACACACACACACACACACACACACACACACACACACACACACACACACACACACACACGCACGCACGCACACACATAGAGTTACTAGCTTCCGACAGTCATAGAGTCATGGGAGTAAATGGACCAATCAGCACACAGTCTATTTTGTATTCATGACCTGGCTAAGTGGGCTGGACTATGGGGTTGTGTTTGGCCCTTTATCAGGGCTCCTGGGTCATTCTGAGCCCCAACAATATGCTTTATAGAGGCTCAAACAACTGTTTCGACTTGTTAAAAAATGTTGTTCTAGGACATCTTTAAGTTTTTGCCTTCATAAATAAGCAGAAATAACATTAGATGAACATTATGCTAAAGTGAGATGGACTTTGTAAAACTTGAATCCATCTGCATTTCCAATGTGCGCAGGTCTGCTGAGGTCAGTCAGCAATGCTGTGGATTTGCTCATGGCTCATTTCGGACGCAGCAGAGACCCAGATGAAAAGGTATGACTCAGCAGAACTCAGCACCAGGAACAATGTGTCCAAACAAAAAACATGACACTGAGAGAACAACAAAAGATTCAAACATCCTGTGTCAGCAGGACTTAGAGGGCAGAACAATCTTTAGCTTTCTTCTTCTGTGGCACAGATGCGTCTGGGCAACAGCTCCTACAGTCCCACCGTTTCTGGCCTGGTTCTGGAACACCTGTGTCCCGCCATCCAGAACATTTTAGAAGACGGACTCAGGGATCACCAACTGGATTTCATCATCGGGCAAAGACGTAATCACTCCTGGAATGTGGTGGATATCTCCACTAGAGCGGGTGTGTGTAGGCGTATTTTATTAAGGCGATGGTGGCAGAGAGGTTTACTGCCTACCACGTAACCGGAGGGTTGCAGGTTTGAGTCCCATCTGTTGCAGTCATTGTGTCCTTGGGCAAGACACTTAACCTTGCCAGCCTTGCCTGGTGGAGGTTGGAAAGACCGGTGACACCTGTTTGGTTGTAGAACCCTAGAAGATGCTATATCAAATACAGGCCAGTTACCTTACCACAGCTGATAATTCCTGTCAGCGTGACGTCATGAGAGACCTGTAGCTTTAGGCTGATGTTTGCCCCTCTGTCCTGCAGGTCCATCCGTCAGGGTCCTTCAGAGCCTGGTGTCCAAAATCAAGCACTGTCCTGAGCTCACCAGCCACTGTATGAGACTGAGAGCCTTCCTCATGGGTCTCCTAAAGTAAGAATCAAAGCTGCTAATATAGTCAAAGGAAGTAAAACATCTACTTATGTTGGTTTTATTGTCTCCTACAGCTTGAGGTCTTTGGAGTTCTGGCTCAGTCACCTCCAGAGTCAGACAGGTGAGGACGCAGCCAGACCCTGTTACACTGATCTGTAACTCAGCTTAGCAACAAGGGTTAGCGTCTGTTTAAAAGTCCTCGTGATGCCACTCAGGATCTCTCTGATTGTGCTCAATAATTATTTGGTATACAGACCATTGTTAGCTGACCTGTGAAGTGAACTAGAAAAACAACACAAACAAAAGTAGAGTGGTTTCAGCTAACGTTAAGGCCCCGGGGTAAGGTAACATTTTAGTCCATCCTCCTTTTGTCGTTCAACAAGAGTTGAGTTTTGGAAACTTTGTTTTTTGCTACTTTCTAATATTTTTAGTTGACACTGATAATAAATAATAGATGAATGAGATGCAGAAGTTGAAGCCCAACGGTAGAAGTTTAAGTCCCGCCCCTGACGTGTAAACAAACGGGACAGTTTTCCAGGGTCTCCGTGAGTACGTGAAAGCCTAAACCTTTATTGACACCCAGATTGTTTCCATGTGTGTGGATGCTTCTCCCCAGATGTGGTGACAGCATACTACCACTCCTGGGGGTTCCTGTATGTGTCTCTGGGCCGGGGCCAGCCTCTGTTCCAGGAGCTGCTGCTGCTGCTGCAGCCGCTCTCTGTGTTGCCCTTTGACCTCAACTTGCTCCTGGAGCCACGCCTGCTGGGTCACAGACAGCTGGAGCAGGAAGCTTTCCCAACTCGGCCGTGCTCAGCGCTGCTCGTGACCAGCTGGCCTAAGCTACGAGCTGACAGGAAGTCAGACAGCAGTGATGAAAGTCACCTTAAAGCTTCGCACAATCAGGAACTTTTAAGTTCTCACAGTTCAAGTTGCTGCAAGCAGCAACATGGAAGCAGCAGTCCGTCGGTGGCTTCAATTCCAGAGTTTTCACAAAACAAACCCGATCCTGTGGAAAGAGGAGATCGAGAGGTGGAATTTTGCCAAAATCATGCCGATGTTTGGTTTCAAATCAGCATGGATGGGAAGAAAGATGAGACGAGAGAGGAGAAAGATGGGGAGACCCAAAATACTCCAGTTCAGTTAGAGGAGAGCAGACTGCGCTGGGCCAAACTTTTTAGAGCCAAAAAGAGTTCCCCGCATCCCCCTGGAACACAAGCAACAACGTAAGAACCAGTAAATCATTTTAAAAGTACTGATTTCCCCTTTTCATTTGTGTGATTTATATTTTTATGATTCCCATCTCACTCCCAGGAACAAGCTACCATCCCGTTGGTTCCATTTGGACCGATTGCAGCTCGGCATGCTGGCCCGATCCATCCGCTCTTTGAAGCTAGGTGGAGCTCCGATTCTCAATAACTGCTGAGAGGGAAACCTTGTTCTGAGGAACACAAGACTGGACTGGTCTTTAGTGCATGAAGACACACTCACTGAGCTCAGATTCAGTTCTGAACTGGTAAAAATAAAAGCACAAAGATGCTAAACAAAAGCCACTGACATATTTATCAAGTTTCAAGTTACAGTTACATCAATTTTCTAATACATACACAATGGTTAATATTTAGAAAAATGCTCATAGTAGGTCTGTGATCAGAAGGCTTTTTATAAAATGTGAGCATAACTAAGATGGCAAGTTGAGTTCCAGCTCTAAAATCCTAAACATCACAACGTTTGTGATGTTACATGCAATAAAATACCACTTCAGAACAAACCAGATTCAGAGCATCTTCCCACCAATACATTGATAAATAAAAATCAATAGCAATAATCTGCATCTGTACTCTGAATTATCCAGTTCAGGTGCTCGTGTTCAACTCCCTTGCTTTTAATCTAGACACGTTTGTCAAAAATGTTCAGATTTTTCTCCTGTGCTGAGAGAACTGATTCCATTGCCAGATGTTACACTCACACACCAGCCCCTTAGGAAGGGGTAACATTATTGTGATTGGTGTTCATTATCAGTATTTTCCCAGCATGGATTCACAGTAGGTGCATGACTTGATGCTTTTCCCTGTTGTCTCCTGGCTGTACACATGTTTGCCCTCTGGTGGTTAATTCAGATATAACATGCACATTCATCAAATCAATAATTTTTTTTATGTTAAAAATTGTTTCAGCTTTTTTCATCTGGTTGTTTGAAACCTGTTGACAATCAGTTTCCATCAATAAAAACCTAATGCATTTAACTGTCTATTTGTTATCCTCCCATGGGTCATGCAGTACTTGTGTCCAAATAAGTGATGCTCTTCCTGATAGATCTCCTAAGGTTCCACGTTATTCCGACCAACGATTCCTCCCCTGTATAGACTTGTATCCTGTGGGATAATGTGCAGTTAGATATGTCTGAGCTTTGGATATAGGAAGTTTTATTACATTTTAAACAAGGCACTTTTTCGGTGGAAAATTATATACCGGTATTAAAAATCTATACTATAAAGTTGTGGAACACTGAAAAAACCTTTTAGATGATTATTTCTGATTATAATCAGTCACTCTGAGTTTTTCGTGCAGGCTGAACATGAAAATAGTCTCCACCTATCTCCTGCTGTAGCTTCTGATAGAAAATAGATTGTGATGTATATTCAGGCTCCAAATGTTTTAGACTAAAATTGCATTTGGATAGCAATTAATGTAAATGTTATCAAATAACAGTTTGTTTATTTGTTTGAAAGTTGTTCATAAAGATTTTTTTTAAGTTGCACAGACAGAACCATTATGCAACACAGCTGCTGACTCAGCAGAATAGGCATGGCAAATGTTAATTATATAGCACATTTCATGCAGAAAGGCAATTCAATGTGCTTTCCAAATAGCAAGAATAGCAAGAATATTAAAAATCAATGTGACAGAAAGTACACACAAGTTAAATTTTGATTTAAAAATTAAAGAAAATGGACAAAGTTAAAGGATGGGTAGTTATTGTGCAGAGCAATCTTTCAACGGCTGATCAATACAATATACAGTAGAATAGAAAATAATAGAGTGGACTTTATTGATCCCACAGTTGGAAATTCACTTGCTACAACAGCACCAACACTTAGAGAAAATAAAAAAAATAACAAGATTACAGATAAATACAAAGAAGCAATAAGCTGTTATTGTAACCTTAAACCACTGTAAACAAGGCATAAAAAGGAAACTTGGGTTTCAGCACTATGCAGTATTCTGTAAAGGACACAGACATGGTATGCAAATCTGGTATTGCACAAGTATCGAACACATACTGAGTATTGCACTGATGTTATTGTGTACCAGGATAATGCCAGTACCAGTTAAACTGAGGAGGTACACACTCTTTCTGCAGAGGGGATGAATGACCTATGGTAGCGTTCTGTTTTACATCTGGGATGTCTTAGTCTGCCTCTGAAGGAGCTGTCCATGGTCTCCAGAGTGGAGTGCAGTGGGTGGGAGGAGTTTTCCAAGATGGAGGTCATCTTCCCTAGCTAGAACTGAGCTAGCTTTGTGAACTAGCTTGTCAAGTCTCTTCCTGTCTCAGTCAGAGCTGCCTGCACCCCAACACATCAGGTTGAATGACAGAGTCAACAACAGAGTGATGGAAGGATTTTAGCAGATGGGAATTAACTCCGAAGGACCTCAGCCTCCTCAGAAGGTGGAGGTGGCTTTGGCCCTTCTTATACAGAGCATCTGTGTTGTTGGACCAGTTCAGTTTACTGTTGAAGTAAACACCTAGATACTTAAATGTATCCACCACCTCAATGTCTGCATGTTTACTGGTGAATAAGGAGGAGGTTTTTTCTTGAAGTCAATCACTCTTTCCTTTGTATTAACTGGTGTTCAAGCAAAGGTGGTTATGCTTACAGAGTCCACATGCTCCAAGATGACTGACCTGCACTCCTGGTCATTCCCTCAGACACACAGCCGACAATGGCTGAGTCACTGAAGAACTTCTGGAGGTGACAGCTGCTGGTGCTGTAGGTGAAGTCCAAGGTGTAGAAGGTGAAGAGAAAGGGTGAGAACACCATACCCTGTGGAGCTCCCAAACTGTACACAACTACCTCAGATGTACAGTTGTGCAGCCTCACGTACTGTGCTCCCTACAGTGCTCCTTGTCTCATTTCGGCACACTTGTGTACTACGCACTCAAAGCCTTACTGCACTTCCTCCAAATGCACTTCACAAAAGACTGTAGGGTGCAGTGCAAGTACTGGGATTGAGCCTTCAAGTTCCGGAAAGTAGTGCACCAGTGTTTGTTTTCTCATGGTACGACAAGGCATTCGTTCATTCCTACCAGAATCCACTTGATTAAACAAGTGTTCCACACCTTTAATTAAAAACAGAACGTAGTTTGTAGAGCTCTGTTGAGCTGTGTTGAGATTGTAAAAGTGCTACCATAGAAACTGGAACGTTATGGAGGAATTATAAGATAGTTTTAGAAATCATTCAATACAGAAAACGTTTCCAGATGCTTCTTATTGCCCAGCTCAATATTTTGTTCTTTTTACCCTCAATCCTTTTGAAAAATCAATGTGAATCGTAGTGGTTGTAACTAAGCCTACACCCAAAAACGCTTCACTTGGTTTAAGCTACTGAATAAAAACCTCTAGCATTATAGTGACAGACAGGCATACTGACATAATCTACAAAGTAGGTAAAATCATCCCCAGGTGTGTGTCAGGGATGAGTAAATCTAACCAGTTTGAGAATATCTGTCCAATTTAGAATGCTGTGATACCCAAAATATAAATAAACAAACCAGAGCATCACCACTGACTTCCTAAATGATACATCGGTCCTGGTGGAAGGGTTTTGACTCTTCAAAGGCTCCGAGGTGCTGTACCGGTTTGAGGGCGCTGGTCAAACAGGTAAATTTACAAGTTAATTGTTATTGTTAATAAGACTTAGAGTCTCTTTGCCCCACATAAGCTCTACTATTGTTACAGGTCTCCACCTTTTTTTGAAGACATTCTGTTCTAAAATGCAATTCAAACATTTCTGGGAGCTTACCAAAAATCTAAAGGACAAAAAAATAAAAATAAAGCTAAATGTTTTGAACTCCTAAAGGCATCAAATTTCCCTCTAATTAAGCATGGTGAGGTTGGCATTATGATGTGTAAATGTTTCACTGTAACAGAAGAAATCTGACCAAGAAATTGCACCAATAGCTTAATTAGCTTAAGCTGCGGACAGCTTGTATACAGGCGGCTTCAGCTGAACTCTGAGCCAAGAAGAGTGAGTAACTTCCAAAGGAAAGGTGTGGTGGGTGTGCTGGATCACTACCAAGAAGACTTGTTCGTCAAGATGAAGGTGAATCCTGTTCAATGACCTCTCTGACCTTTTTTGGCCCTGTTGTCCTTAGATCAGCTGATTGGCTGCTGTGGTTCTCTGGAACAAGTTGTCTTTCAGTATCAAACACTTCCTGTTTGTAAATTTGTTTTAAAAAGCAGTTATTCCTAACAGAATGTGAGTTTATTCAATATAGATTTTTTACTTTGATTTCAATTATCTTCACCTCTGTGACGTTTGTCTTTGTGGATTTATTAGTGTATAGCACTTTGGATCAACGTGTGCTTCACACACTAATTTAATGGAGATTTAATAAATGTACAAAAATTCTTCCAAGGTCATTATAATATCATAATTTGCTACTTTTATCTTTGTTACTTTTCTTGTCCAACGCCTTGGGCCCCCTTTGAAGGTGGTGGCACTATATAAATAAAACTTGATTGATTGATAATAATAATAAAGATAGTTTTAAATAGCAGTTAATGATAATTTTCTGTTTTGTTTTTTAGTAAATGAACGGCACAATTTGAGATCAATACAAGAAGTTTTCTTTTTTTTTATTATCCCAACACTGGCCCCTGGCGGTCTTGTTTGGAAAAGCAGCTAAAAAATCTAGATTTAAAAACGGCAACAAATGATCAGATAAAATAAAGCCAAAGACCAGAATACTGCTCATGTGATTCAACAAACATTTAGATAAAAATATTCTATATACATATTCTTAAATAAGAATGTGGATTTTGTTTTTAATTTTAAACAGTATTGCTTTCCCCTTCTCGCCCTAATAACAGCACTTATTATTAGGAAAACATACACACAGTCCATGTCCTTCTCAATAAATTATCACTAATAATAAAAACATTCAGAGACAGACAAACCTGCTGAGAGGTGACCTGGAGTGCCTGTTAGACCTGTTCTGTGCACCGATCAGAAGGTAAGAAGTTTAATCTTCATCTTCTTTGGGTCACTTGTCGACTCTTCCTTATGCAAATTACTGAATATTTCCACTGCTGGAATAAAAGTTTTGCATGAGAAGGTGTGAAAGATGCTCATTGTGTAAGGTCAGAGGTCATGTGCAGGTTATTTTGCTGTTTTACTGCAGCTTCGCCTCCATTAATGAAGAAAGGAGAGCTAATCTCCCCTGCTCGTGTCCACCACCATCTCCTTTGTTTTAGCCACACTGATGGGGCTTGGCTTGCTTTAACACCCCCTAGTGTTTGTTTTAAATGATTGTCGTAAAAACCAACTAACTCCGCTGCTGTGTGTCCATGTTTTCAAAACAGCGGACGACACATTAAAGTTATACTCAAAAGTGCAATAGTGCAAACGCAACATTTGTCTCCGAGTTCTCGCTATTCAGAAAATGCTTTCCTGATCTTGACTCTTGTTTGACCCATCTTTCGGTCGGACGTTCTTTTTTACTTTTGTTTCATTAAAAGATTTCTTTAATGCTGAGGTTTCGCCATGATGAACACAATTCAATAAATGGCAATCATCTCTACTTCCTCTATTCTAATGTGTAAGCATGCATTGCCATAAAGCATCAATGCTTTTTGTGAGATATGTGACTTTGCAAGACCACTCACCAGTCTGGAGAAGCTCAAGTTGCAGATGAGGTACTTTGCCCACAAAGAGCGAAGGGGGCTGAGAGAAAATTCATTCACTCTGTAAAAGATCATTTTAGCACTAACTGGCTCAAGAAAAGGGTTTAAAGGGATATTTTGCAACTTTTTCATATTTTAAATAATTTTCTCGAGCCAGTGTGTGCTAAAATGACCCTTTACAGGGTTAAGCCTGAGTCATGCTTCTCTGTCAGCTCCAAAAGGGAGAGACACGCACGCACGGACGGAGATGTTTTGCCCTCATACTTCTCCGTCTCCTGGGGAGTGTTGCAAAGCAATTCCCCGCCAGGACAACAGAGGGCGTAGCGCTGTTCTGTGGTATCCTGTCATGTATCCGGTCCAAGATAGTGTGTTTATATTGTGTTTTTGTATATAAGAGACTTTTTAACACGGACAAATTTGTCTCTCATTCTCCTCCACCTCTTCATGCACTCGCCACCTCTAAACCCACGTTTTCCGTCATTTCTGTCCACAAATTAAACACTTGCTGTGCACCTCTTTCACTCCTCCAGTCACGGGGTAATTAAACATTCATACTTTTAGAGTTTTTTCGCAAGGTATTCTTCAAGGATCTCGTGTCTGCCGCTAGTTATCCTTGGCTCTCTTTATGTTTTTGAGGGCGCAATGGCGGCGGTGTAGACGACAGCGGTGCCCTGACCAATTACAAGCTTGCATTGTCCGTCTCGACGGACAAATGTTTAGAAAAGAGACCTCGACTCCATCCGTCCTTGCGGGGGCTCTCCAGCAGGCCCGCGAGGATGGATAATGGCGTTGCATGTCTACGCACTGACGCAGAAGCATGACTCAGGCTTTAGTGAAAGGCCACCCAACCCCTGTCGCCCCCTGTGGCCAAATATTCCACTTGCAACTTCAACCTGGCTGGCCGCTCTGGTGGGACGTATAAAATTCTGCTTAAATACCTGGTGCTGCAGTCTGGCTCCAGCAAGTGTCCTCCATGTTTTAGATCATGAACACAGCTGATTTGTTTAACTTAGTAATTAATCATTCCTGTAGACGCTAATGAAGGCTGGGAGACATTTCATTTGTTAGATTAAGCTGTTAAAAAGACGAATGCACAGCGAGGAGAGGTTTTGAATTTGGTTATACTAAATGGACACTAGGAGGTACCAAAAGCAAGCCAAAACTGCTAAGTTCTCGTTTAAACATGTGGAACACAGAAAAACACTGAAAACAAAATTGTTTTTCCTATATGTGATTAAAACGGTCACTCTGACATTAGCGTGAATGTAACAGCAGAGACCGTCTCAACTAGCAGAAGTTAGCATTAGCAATTCCACCACACAGCAGAGCTCCACCAGGCTTGTGTTATTTGTGGAGATAAAACATGTTTGTGTTTATGTTTATGTGTTTAGCAGACGCTTTTGTCCAAAGCTACTTACAAGTGATAATCGGCCTATTGCCCTTGAGGCTAACAACGACAATAACAACAACAACTTGACATCAGTCATGGAAAGTAGGGAACAAGGAGTGGACAGTAGAGAGGGGGACGGGTGCAGGGAGGGTGCTAGTATAGAAGATGCTCTCTGAAGAGCAGGGTCTTCCGGAGTTTCTTGAAAATTGAAAAGGAAGCCGCTGCTCTGGTAGTGCTTGGTAGGTCATTCCACATTTGTGGAACGATGCATGAGAAGAGTCTGGATTGTCCTGAGCGTGGTGTAGGCACTGCTAGCCGACGATCCTGTGATGACCGGAGCGGCCGGGCCGAGACGTAAGCCTTTGCAAGAGGATTCAGGTAGATGAGAGCCGTACCATCTGCTAGTGTTAGCAATTTGAATTTGATGCGTGCTGCTAGCGGTAGCCAGTGGAGCTCAATGAACAGAGGGGTGACGTGTGCTCTTTTTGGCTGACATGATTGTTGCAAAGCAAACAGGGTCAGTGGTAGAGTCGCGTTGCTGTTAGCCAATCAGAGGCGAGATGTCCAAATATCCAGAAATAAGACCCCAAATCCTGTCGCCTGAAGCTCAGCTGTGATGTGGCTCACTTCTAGCTCTAGAAATGGTGCCCAGGGCTTTCCCCCTTGAGCCTGACTTACAAGGCACTCATTCCTACCAGAGGTATTGATTAAATTAGTGTTCCATACCCTCTGGAGACAGGCGTTGCAGTTTTGCAACAGTTAAAACCTACCTACCTGGTTACTCCACATATGTATTTCATGAGCATTTTTTCACTCAGAAGTATCACTGAAGGACTTAGTTGTTCTTCCTTTTCTCAAAACTTATTTTGAGCCTGAGACGGGTTAAAAATATGAAAAAGTTACTCAGTCATCCTATAAATCATTCTGATCATGCCTTCTCAATATTGAACATGAAGCTCTTTGCACATGCAAAAATCACAGTCAATCATTAACTGTCATAAAAATGCAGCCTGTTTGCCCTTCCAGACTTTAACAGTCTTACTTTTGTGTGTGTTTCCTGGGTTGTGAACCAGTTCAGAGGTCAGGTCAGATCAGATCTGATCCTACCTGGGCCACGTTTTCACCTGGAGAATGCAGACAGAAGTGTCTGTTCAACACATTCCTACTGTTTTAGATCAATCCGGGTTTGTTTGGTTTGCCAATGTGTCGACACAACTCACACTGTTGCAACTGGCTTCTCACAGCTTACCACAATAATGTACACCAGCGGGAGAGTTTCGACACCCTACATTTCTGTAACATTAAGGCATGTAGGCCGTGGAGCTCAGCTCTGTTTCTAGCTCATCTTCAGGACATAATGGGTAGCTTCTAAGTTCTAATAATTTTTCCTTTTGGCTGGTAAACAAATGACAACATCCCGTCTGTGTGATCGTGTCAAGTCTTGTTTCATTTCCTTACAAGTGGAGAGACGAATCTCAAAGGGCCACTGAAGCACAAGTTCCCTTTTTCCCGGTATTTGGTGACAGATAGAAACAGGTATGAACATGCGGTTGTGATGTAAAGAGGTGTGGCGAAGCAGTAGAGGTGGATCAGAGGGAATTCTCACCTTCTTATCTGAGCAGGTCGTCTCAGCTGCCGTCTTATTCTTTTTCTCCTTTGTAGGTCAGCAGCGAAGCTGGAGCTTTCTGGAGATGTATTTATACCAGAGCTTTGGGAATCTCATGGAGGCATGGGTGAACGAGGAGAGCGTTTCTCCACAGCGGCGGCTGCTTCAGACTGTGGATGTTCTAGCACCCACAGCTGATGTTGGACTAAGCCCGCGATCAGAATCTGTGGACTCTGGAGTAGAATCCACCAGCTGTGGAACACCAAGTCCTGTCACCCTGTCTTCTGATTTAACAGACAACACAGAAATGGATTCACTACTGTTACAAAGCGAAGGGCTCGCTTTAGCATCAACACCCCAGTCTCCTGAACTCTCTTCTCCCTTGCTGTCATCCTCCTCCTCTTCGTCCCCACAGCTGTGTCCCAGCAGAGCCGAGAAGGGGCCATCTGCCTTGAACCTCAAAGTAGAAGAAGCCTTACGCAGGACTGCCTCAAACAGTCGAAGACGCGTGGATGAGGTGTTCATCCGCTTGCCTGGATCATCTTTGCTTCCCAAACGACACGCATCAGAGCTGGCACGGTGTCCGAGGTCACAGAGCTTTGACATGAGGAGGAGGTTTAACCCATCTATCCCTTTAAGACAAATGACAGAAATGCAGAAATCGGAGGTAAAAATCCTTTTGAAATGAACTGTTTGAACGTAAACAAGTCTGGTCTCTGCACGGCAGAGAATATGTTGCAGTTAACCACAGTGTGCTGCATTTGTTTAGCTTGGACCGGTTTCAGGATTTCATTCTTGCCGGTGACTCAGGCTCAAGTAGAGTCTTGCACAGCACACGCTCATAAATGCACAGACGCAGCTGCTCTTCCATTTTCTAAAGCACACGTTATTACCAGTGATATTTCATGCTCACAAATCTACCTTCAGTTGGACGGATCTAAAACCAGTCTGGCCAGCTGACTGACATGTGAGGAATGGAGAGGGAAGTTGAAAAGTCTGCAGGGATCTCAAATGGAAAGAACTAGACAGCAGAGTGAGAGAGACAGCCCTGAGTTTAAATCTGAGTGGGTTTATGACCATCTCTCTCCTCACACCAGTCTTAAAATCAGCTGATGTTTTGTCACAAACCTGCCACAATAACAGGATTAAGTGTATTCTTTTTAAATATCAGCTCTTGTGTGTGTGTGTGTGTGTGTGTGTGTGTGTGTGTGTGTGTGTGTGTGTGTGTGTGTGTGTGTGTGTGTGTGTGTGTGTGTGTGTGTGTGTGTGTGTTTGTGCGTGTGTGTGTGTGTGTGTGTAGGAGATTTTCTTGTATTGTTGCACTTGGGGTTAAATAACTGTGAGTAATTCAACACAGAAATGATGATGGGTCATTGTTTTCACAACGCTCGTGCAGAGCCAGAAGCAGTGAGTCAAACTAATAACTAGATTCTGACCTAACAGGTTCTTGTTGTTGTTTAGAAAGTTCTGCGCAAGGTTTTTGAAATGTGATAACCCATAAAGCTTAGCGAGTTTATAGATGTCGCCGAAAGAAGGGTTTTCACAGCTGCCAAAGATTTCTGAAACCATCTACTTTTGTTTATAATCAAAAAATAAAAGCTGAAAAACAGCGACGCTGAACTGATGGAAGGTTTGCTTCTCGGTAATAGAAATTTGGAGATTCAGTAAAGAAATGACAAATTACATTTGAAATTTAGATTAAGATTCACAGATGTTATGGATTTATGGACATTAACCCTTTAACCAGCAGGTCAGCTGCTCTGTAGGACAATTTTTTTTATCTCTATATCTTATTGAAACATGCACTAAACTCCACTAAGAAAAGTTTGACATTTTTATCTTGTCTTGTTATGATCAATGACAAGTCTGCAAAATAAGCTAGCTTAAAACATTCCCTTCATGCCTCTTAACAACCTTCTAACATTGTATAGCTATAAATATACTAAAATAAAAACAAAATTAATTAATGAAGCGGTTCTCTCGCAATTGTCTAAAAACTTCTGCCAATAAACTATCCGGTTGTCTTTCTCACCAAACTGCAGCACTTCCTTGGGTCCTCCATTTATTACGCACTTGTGTATTTTGCGAGAAAACACCAAAAAGAAAAACACCATCTGAAGTCATTGACAACAAGAAACGTTTGGACCTAGGAAACAGCGGCTGGTGTTTTGCGCCATCTCATTTCCTGTGGCAATGCCTGTTCCAGTTTCCGGCGAACATGGTCTAGGGTTGATCGCCGACGGGAAGGGTAACAGTTCTCTGACCATGTTTGTGTTTAAAAGCTAGCCGGTTTCACAGATTTGCTATAGCAGCTTTATTTTTTTATGATTCATTTTATGTTATTATTCATTTAGATTATATAATATCTTTTAAAAGTTTCATTAATTTAAACATTGCAAAAACCCTTATTTTTCCACGCTTTTTTCTTAGTGTGAAAGACAAAGACATAGAGAAGGGTTTGGATTTGATTTTTATTTTATAACATTTATATATTATAAAAACGATAAAACCTAAGATAGATCCAGATTCTCCTAAACCTCTGTGCTCTACAAGTCAGTTCTGTTTATTATACTAAAATTAACCACAAATTAAAAAGATTCCCACTGTTGGACTAAAATATTATTAGTTACAAATCTAGTAGCAAGAAGGCCAGGTCACCATCAGTCCGTGATTTTGTAGCCTTCTTTAACTCCCTCAAACTAGTGTAGGCCACACTGATGTTCACTCTGGTTTTAGCTCTTTGCTTCACCTCCAAAGACATTACTGTCTTACTTTTACTTCTAGGTTCCACCATGATGCAAACTAGAAAAGCAAACTTTTTTTTCCTTTTTATTCTTTTTATTGATGATCGATGAAATGAAAATGCTAACCGTTAGCATTATAGCTAACAGCCATACAGCAGGTAAAGAGTGCTCTATCTTCTTGGATACCTACCCACTCCACAAAACCATCATGTGCAATTTTTAGTTAGCAGAGGGCTGCAGATTGGTGTCAAAAATGAAACTGGTCAAGTTTTTAACTCAGCAATCATGTATTTCAATGTTAAAGCTCTAACTCAATGTTTTAAAACTATCTATTGTTACTTTATTGTGCAATTGTCTGCGCAGGGCTTTAGAGTGAAGGAGGGAAAAGAACTGAGTCCTGGGCTCTTCTACCTAGAGCAGGTGTGTCAGATGCTGGAAGAAGCTGCCAAACAGCAGATGAGTAAAAATGTGTTACAGAAAGACACGGAAGCGCTCTGGGAACACGTGGAACCTCAGGTGAGCCAAACGATGACAGTTAATACACATGACTTATGCCAGTAAAATATTCTGAGTCCCTCAAAAACAATACCAACCATCACTCGTTTTTCCTCAAAGGAAACTTGTCAGACTGACTTGTCGGCTATTAACGAGGACCAGTTTCCAACTCATACACTTGAAAATGCTGAAAATGTAGAGCTAAATTCCAGCAAACCTCAGCCGCCAAAGTCCAGACATTTTCGCCAAAGATCAGCATCAGACACGACATTTGCATTGCTGCATTCCAGTGAGTCACCGTCCACAAATTTTTCTCCTGAATTCCTCATTGTTTTGCTGTTTTTGTTCGGAGGTTTCTTCTTTGACAAAATGTGTGTGCACTCGGTGCAGAAAAGCTGAATGCAAACCCCAGAGTGCAGCTGATGAGCACAAGTAACCTGCTAGAAACCGTAGAGGAAGACCATGTAAAACAGGTAGCATACATGTGCAGAACAGCACAACACACAGTAGATGCTATAATGTGCAACTGAAATGTGGGTGTGTTTTCAGGAGATAACAAAGGAGGGGTCGAGTAGATCATTTAAGAGCTGGAGGTCAAAGCTTGCAAATCTAAGACGTTCGGAGTCCGATGCATCGGAGATAAAAGGGTGAGGCATGATATTTATAACTGTCACCTCTAAGGGGACAGTTTTATTAATAAAATGCTTGGAGGAAGTATGTGTGTTGGTCTATTATCAGCCATATTGGATACAGTGACCTAGAACTGATGCACAGTTGAGGCTTAGCTTAAAGCTGTCGCGTCTCGCTTTGAGTGAAAATGTTGCCCACACACTGACTCTAGTTTTTACAACATGGATTTTCTGTCTGATGCTTTTTTTTCTTTTTTCAAGCCAAAATATGCAGTCACCTGAGAAAAATGCAACCTGCAGACGGCTGAGCCAACTGTTCAGGAGGAAGAAAACCTAGCTTCGATGAATTGGAAGCCTTTTTCAGTGTTTCAACATTTTTGGTTTAACAGAGGAAAAACTCTTCAAACTGACTCTGCTTTTGAAAGACGTCCCATTGTCTCATGATGCAGCAGTCAGCAGATTGGATGATAACTCATGATTAGACTCTTTTTTTGTCCATCCATCCATCCATCCATCCATTTTCTGTGCCCACTTATCCAGGCAGGGTCGTGGTCTCCAGCAGTCTCTGGGCATGCAGGTGAGGTACGTCCTCATAGGGCAACACAGAGACACACAGGACAATCATGCACACACACTTACACCTTAGGAGAATTCGGAGAGACTAATTAAACTGACAGTCATGCTTTTTTAACTACGGGAGGAAGCCGGAGTACCCGTAGAGAACCCACGCACAGGAAGACCCCAGGCCAGGATGCAAACCCGGGACCTCCTTGCTGCAAGGCAACAGTGCTAGCCACTGCACCACTGTGAAGCCTCTTTTTTGTGAAAATCTGAAATTAACTGGAACACCTTAACTTGTTTTACTGTCACACAAAATGCTAAATGGTAAGAATGTTGAAGTTCTTGTAGTTTTATATAGAATTACATCCAAACATACTGCTTTTTAGATTATTGTTACGGTAGCCGTAACAGTTATCCTGGTCTACACTATTAATGGTAATTGTAGGAAAAAAATCACAATTTTTTTACCTTTTTTGTCTCACAAAAGAGCAATAAGTAAGAATGTTTCTGTGAAATAATAACAAAACATTCTAATGTTTCAGTCATTTTGGAAGGACGATTACATTCAGATTTCCTTCTGAGCCAGCTGGGGGCTTGTCAGTGTTTCTCCTTTAAAAAAGGCTGAAGAAGGACGTAGTCAATTTTTACTATCTGCCCCACCTCCATACTTCCTGGTTCCAGAGCCAATCATGTGTGTCCGCAAGGCTGCCAAGTCTGCGCCAACATTTGTAATTCGACACCGACCGCCAAAGCAGCAGCGTTGGGAACAGAATCTTAGTCAGTAAAAGGAGCAGGTCCAGAAGCAAAAGAAGGAAGGAAACGATTTAAGCAAAATAAGTATTACAAATTTTGTTTTACTCTATTATCTGTTTAAGAATGCTAAAGGCTAACATTGAGCTAACAATTTGTTGTGTTTGTTTACTTATGAAATTATTGTGCATGTCATCATCTAGAATGTTCTGGTGCTGAGCCGTAGCTGGCAACAGTTGTTCTGAGTGGATTGTTGGTTTTGATACTGCAGTACCCAAATCTGACCACAGGATGTCAGTCTTACTTCATGCACCTTTAAAGGTTTCAGATCACAAAAATATTTCAATGTCAGACAAGCTTGAATAAATATAAAATGCAGTTGTCAAATACTTGTTTTAATGTATCCAGACTAAGCTGTCCTAGATGTGAAAAGCAGGTGACTTCATTACTGTCATTAAAACTCTCAGTTGACAAAAACTACAGTGAAGCATTTGTGACGGGTGTAACTTGTGAAACTAATCCCAGTTTTGTAAATGTTGTGGTTAATCCCAGGTAATCAATGAGAGAAATGACTGTTTCTCATCAGTACAGTTTGGTTTTGATTGCTTTTATCTATGAATGATCATTTGAAATCGGCATTTTGTATTTATTCAGTTTATCAGTAAATGCGACATTTTCTGTTGATTTAAAAACATTTTTGTGTGACAAAAAGGAATAACTGTTTTTGTGGGCAATTAACCCTTTCATGCATTAATTATGAAATCTTCAACCATGTTTTTTTAACAATTTTTTTCATTCATCTTTAGGTGTGAATGAAACAAATTTCAACAAATTTCAGCAAATATTTTTTGTAACATTTAATAATTTATAAATAATTTATTACATGTCCACCTCAGTGGACAGCGTGCATTCTGCACATGAAATATGTTGGCTTGACTTACTGAAGTGCAAATGGAGGGACTCAAATGCAATAAAGTCTTCAACAGCTGTGCTCAGTAGAAAAAAAAATACATTCTGAGTACCTGTCCACTGTAGTGACCATTATGCATCAGAGGGTACATTTTTTTGCAGCATTGCATCTTTAAATTATTTTAAAGGGTGAGGCACGCTATGGAGTCTTCCTTCACCCACACATCCTGTGAGGCAGTGATTGACAGTTTAATAATGCACTAAGTAGCATTAAGAAGAGGAACCTTGTTGTAAAGTTTTACCAGAAAATGTTTTTTTTTATCATGAAAGATAAAAAATGGCATCCCAGTTAGGGATGAAGCAATATATTATGTTATTTCTTTTCATTATATGAAATGTAGGCCTACAGACAGGCATTTACAAGAATTTACAGGTTTTTGTGTTTTTGTTGTTAAAAATAAATAAATAACAGTCTTCTGAGAGAGTCTGTTGTATCGTCATCAGAGAAAAAGTAAAAACAAATGTCAAGGCTTTGTAATGGCAGTCACTGTTAGCATATGTTCATCTTTGTTCTGACATGAATGGGTAAGTAAGCAAAGTTTATTTATACTGTATATAAAATCACAAAGTCCTTCATAAAGACATCAACATTCAAACAAGACTAGTTTCATTAATATCCTGTTTATTTTTAACTACCCTTGCTATCTTATGTAGTTCTAATAAATTAGCCACATACACTTAAGTTAGTATTTTTCTGCTATGTGAAATCTGATCCTGTGCTACTGATGCACCAAAAACATCCTAAAGATGATTTATCAGACCCATTAAACGCCATTGTTGGTCAGATTTTCTTGGTGGCTAGCACACACACAGATGTGTGTATCATGTGTGTTTGGTCCCACAGACTACTCTGTTTTTGTGATCTGGGTGCACCAGGGTAGAACTTTTAGGGAAACATAAGCAAAATTATTTTAGGGGAACGTCATGAAAAATAGCCTAAAGAAAAATATGCATTCCTGCTAAATTTGAATTCTAATAGCACACATTTGTTAGCAGCTGAAATAACAAAAGTTGCACTGCTGTAACAAATCGTTCATTTTAGACTTAAGCAGTGAAAAAAGGGTAATACTTGAATATGATCTGATTATTGGTTAAAGTTACATTAACAGCATTAATTTGTTAGATTATTATTCTACATCAACATTTTAGTCTATTGAGTGATTTGTATTTTTACTTTACAAATCTATTTGAATCTCTTTCAGCACACACACACACACACACACACACACACACACACACACACACACACACACACACACACACACACACACACACACACACACACACACACACACACACACACACACACACACACACACACACACACACACACACACACACACACACACACACACACACACACACACACACACACACACACACACCTCATAATTATAATCTGTCCTACATTTGGCTGGTTGAAATCTGGTCTCCCTGGTTGCAAAGGCACACGCAGTTGATGAAAAATTGATGTGTGGCAGAAAAAAAGCTGCATTACTGCCACTATATATGAATAAAGGTGAAAGAGCTGAAAGAAAAAGGCAGCAACAGTTTAACACGTCTTGATGACTAAAATATTCATCTGAGGTTTTTTTTTTTATCGTTTGAGAAAACGTTTCACAGGTTTTTGGTAGAAAGTGCTGTTGTAGATGATCTCGGATAAATTAATTTAATAACCGAGATCTGCAAAGCAATATCTCTGAAGCACAACATGCTGAATCTTAAAGCTGATAGACTCCAGCAGCAGCAGACCACTCCAGGCGTCTCTCCTGTCAACTAGGAGCAGGAAACTGCAGACACAATTCACAGACCTGGACCAGAAGAGACTGGAAAACAGTTCCTGGTTTGATAAGTTTTCATTTCAGCTGCAGCATTCAATCAACCAATCAATCAATCAGTCAAATTTTGTTTACATAGTGCCTTCCACTGCCTTTGCAGGAGTCCAAGGTGCTAAACATTGCATACCATAAAAACACAAAAGAACAATCAAGTAACTTTGATTGATAACAAAAAGGACAAAACAGATTAAACGTCAAACGATAAAAGTGAGTTTTCTCCAACTTTTAAAAACCTGCAACCCTGTAAGGACCGATAAACATGCTACAAGATCTTAAACTTAGCCCAATAACACACAGGTAATGTAAAGAAGCCAGCATGGGGGTAATGTGTTCTCTTCTTTTCCCAGTCAGCATCTAGCTGCAGCCGCTTCAGTGCTGCCTGACTCAAACCAGCTGTGGCAATACGGGAGTGGTCTATGACCTGTTGACGCCAAGGATGGCAATTGTATCTGCTCGAGTGCAATTTCGTTAACAACGCCACCTTGGGAATTTCACCCAAGGAATCAAAGCATGTAAATTCATTCCACTTCATTCAGACAGAGACGTGGTTTCAGAAGTTACAATTCATGTATTTTATTTTATTGAAAATAACTGCTTAAAAGACATGTTAAGAACGGGCCATGTAAAATGTCATAAAAATGCTAAAATTAATGACAACAGGAACTGAACCAATGGATTTAAACCAAACAAAAATATGTTGACAAGCAGGACAGAGGCTAGTGATGGAGGCAGGTGACTCGGGGCAGAAAAGCCCCAACCAGCAAAAAATAAGAAAATATAAAAGATTCACCCCTGGCAGTGAACATTCATACCAACGTGAGAACCCAGCACCACCACACTCGCACACGGGACCACCACCTCCGAGGCCACACCCCACACCTCCTGCCTCAGCCTGCACAAAGAAAACAAAATTAAAAACTGTATAAAATCGGTACGATGTTGATCAGCTGTTCTTCCTCCTGGACTCCAGCCAGGAGCCAGGGGAACTTCCTTCAACCAGCTGATTTAAAATGTAGTAAAAAGAAACAAGACTAAACAGCGGCGCCTCCGGCCGGACCGCAGAGGAATCGGTCCTCCCGCTAGTAACGCCTGAACAGAAGGGAACTCTCTGCCCAGAAGCAACGAGGATTCAGCAGGCAAGCGATGACATCACACCCAACACTGACCCAAATGCCCAAGCACGGTTGAAGCAGAGCCGATCGCACCATAAACGCAGCCTGAGGACACGGGCTGGCAGTACCAAAACGCAGCGGCATAATGGCACCAGCTGTTTCCCGAACCTACTTCCTTACCAGAAGAGCTCCCCTTTTATAGCAGCAGCGCCCTCCTACGTGCGGAGGGCGTACTGCTCTAAACCAATAAAATTGGAGCATGCGTTTCATAATGCTACATTCCACCCCTCCAACAGGAATCGTTGTCCCAACGATTAACAAAACTGAAGGGCTCCAATCACTCAAAGGCCTGAATAACCAATATATGGGATGGCCAACCCGTTGGCAGCCTTATGCCGCAACCAGTGGCAAGATCCAAGTTTTATCCGCACCTCAGGGTTCAAAGTGCGGGTCCGAAATAGTTGACACCATTGACCGTGTGTCCAACAAGCACGGAACCTGCACTCCCCTATTATTACATGCACGGACAAGACAAGATCAATTACGCCGTTCCCACGGCAGTAGACTCCATCTGAGCCAGGCTTGGCACCCCCCGAACTTTGGTTCCACAGCTCGGCGGGTGTTAGTTTTACGACGATGCCACCCGCCCACCTTGCCTCCCCGACTGCTGGGACTGTGCCGCGGGTTGAGAAGAAACCCACACCCCATCACAATCTTTAGCAAAGTGGCCTGGCTGACGACAACGTCTGCAAATTAGGGGGCTATGATCAACGGGATTACTACTCCGCCTCGGACCTTGGACCACTAAGAGACCCTCCGCAAGTTTCAACTGTTCCTGCTGTAGCTTCAACATCTCCCTCATTTTAGTCAACTCCGACCGCATGGGGGAGGCTGCTGTGGTCTGGGGACATTGGACCCCATATTGCAACCCAAAAACTGAAGGGACAGAATAACTTCGGCCTCTAGCTCCTCCCGAGGAACCCTCCCGTTCCCACCTAATGACTTTGGCTCTAACCTCCAACAAGGTAGCTGTTAAATTACGACGCACGAACTGTTTCAACTCACGGCGCAAGGCACCGTCACTTTCGTGCTCTACAAACTGGTCGCGAAGCAACTCTTCAGCATTGGGCATGTCAGTGAGGGCTTGCTGTTTAATGGCAGCCATTAAACTCATCAGGGCGAGGAAAAACTCTTGCAATGTTTCCCCCTCCCCGGTCTCTTACCTTACCCACTAAATAATGCAACAACTCCTAGGCCGTTTTTTTTTTCAGGTGAGCACCGCTGTTTCGTCTCGCAACCTATAAGTAAAAACAAGATTAATACAGAAGAAAAAAAAAAGACAGAGAAAAGAAAAATTCTGAAAAACACACGTCTCTAGCTCTCGTGGATCCTGCCAACAACGCCAAATGTGGCAATACGGGAGTGGTCTATGACCTGTTGACGCCAAGGATGGCAATTGTATCTGCTCGAGTGCAATTTCGTTAACAACGCCACCTTGGGAATTTCACCCAAGGAATCAAAGCATGTAAATTCATTCCACTTCATTCAGACAGAGACGTGGTTTCAGAAGTTACAATTCATGTATTTTATTTTATTGAAAATAACTGCTTAAAAGACATGTTAAGAACGGGCCATGTAAAATGTCATAAAAATGCTAAAATTAATGACAACAGGAACTGAACCAATGGATTTAAACCAAACAAAAATATGTTGACAAGCAGGACAGAGGCTAGTGATGGAGGCAGGTGACTCGGGGCAGAAAAGCCCCAACCAGCAAAAAATAAGAAAATATAAAAGATTCACCCCTGGCAGTGAACATTCATACCAACGTGAGAACCCAGCACCACCACACTCGCACACGGGACCACCACCTCCGAGGCCACACCCCACACCTCCTGCCTCAGCCTGCACAAAGAAAACAAAATTAAAAACTGTATAAAATCGGTACGATGTTGATCAGCTGTTCTTCCTCCTGGACTCCAGCCAGGAGCCAGGGGAACTTCCTTCAACCAGCTGATTTAAAATGTAGTAAAAAGAAACAAGACGAAACAGCGGCGCCTCCGGCCGGACCGCGGAGGAATCGGTCCTCCCGCTAGTAACGCCTGAACAGAAGGGAACTCTCTGCCCAGAAGCAACGAGGATTCAGCAGGCAAGCGATGACATCACACCCAACACTGACCCAAATGCCCAAGCACGGTTGAAGCAGAGCCGATCGCACCATAAACGCAGCCTGAGGACACGGGCTGGCAGTACCAAAACGCAGCGGCATAATGGCACCAGCTGTTTCCCGAACCTACTTCCTTACCGGAAGAGCTCCCCTTTTATAGCAGCAGCGCCCTCCTACGTGCGGAGGGCGTACTGCTCTAAACCAATAAAATTGGAGCATGCGTTTCATAATGCTACACAGCAAACAGTGCGTTACGATAGTCTAGTCTTGACAAAACTAATGCATGTGGTACTGACTCAAGATGAGGGCTATACAACATAGCTAGACGTCATAGACGAAAGAAACAAGACCTCACCCCTAGTGTTCAGAAGGTCAGGTCAGAATTGGGGTGTCAACATTAAAGCGTGGATCCATCTAGCCTTAAATCAATGCTTCAGGCTGCTGCTGGTGGTGGTGTCATGGTGTGGGGGAGATGATCTTCTCCAACTTTGGACCATAAGAACCACCTAAGCCTGGTTCACAGCCTACCTGAGTATTGTTGCTGACCATGTCCGTCCCTTCATGACCACACAGATCCATCCTCTGATGGTTACTTCCAGCAGGGTAAGGCACCATGTCATGTCTCAGATAATCTCTGACTAGTTTCTAGAACATAACCTTGAGTTTACTGGACTCCAACGACCTCCACAGTCACCAGATCTCAGTCCAGAATCTTTGGGAAGTGGTGGAACATGAAATTCTCATCATGGATAGAACTGTGTGATGCAGTCATGATGGCCACATGGACCAGAACCTCTGAGGAATGTTTCCAGCACCCTGTTGAATCCATGACACGAAGAACCTGGGCAGCTCTGACAGCAAAGGCGTACCTAATGAAGTGGCTCATCAGTGTACAAATTCTGACGCATTCAGCAAAAGATAAAGGACAGAAACAAAACGTACAATCATCTGCAGCCATCTTCACGTAGAACACTGAAACAAAGACCACACAGAGGTATGTGTTTATTTAATCTTTATTCACCTAGGTTGGGGGGGAGACACCTCCCCTGGCATTCCCATGTAAAGAGATGTCATGACAAACACATCCAACCAAACAAGAGACGGTGAATAGGTTTCCAGTCCATACATAAAATACATTTATTTACTTTATACTGAACCATCAGGATTCATCAGTCCCACACAGCATCCATCTGTGCTATTAAATATAGAGAGATAACATCTATGGGGGGTTATTTACTGTGAGGGGAGGGGCTTGGCAATGTGGGTTTAGCTTATGGATGAGAAGAGTTGTGGTGGTGTGAAGCAGCGCCCTCACCTCCTCCCTCTTGTCTACATGATGCCGCAGGAGGACAACGGGTTGGCAATCTGGCAGGTGCAGGCTGACTGGCAGTATTGACGCACAGTCTGGTAGCAGCTGCGGTCGGCGTCCCCGCCCCACTGCACAGGCCCGTTGGGGTCAGAGGGCAAGCGGCTCAGAATGCTGGTGTTGATGGCCAGAGCAGCTAGGCCATAGTCAGTGAACAGCACCGTCTCACGCCGGCACGTGGGGCAGGAGATGAACTTGTACTTGGGACAGGACTCGTAGAGGATCTGCAGGCACTCCTCACACACCGAGTGCAGGCAGGAGAGAATGCGTGGACGTTTCCCGGCGAAATTATAAGTGTGACCACAGGTGGGGCATTCGAGGGGCTCGCAAGGCATGACTGGCCCCGAGGACGAGGAGGAAGTGGAGGAGGAGGTGGAGGAGGAGCGCAGCACATACTGGTTGACTATGACATCTTCCATCTTGTAGTGGAATTGGTGGTAGCAGATTTCGTTGGCACTCGGTTTGCGTTGCGCCAGGAAACTCTGCTCCCTGTGCATCAGGGGGGCAGGAGGGGACATCATGGGTCTGGGGGACGGTGCAATGTCCAGTGTCAGGTCACTGCAGGCCTGGTTGACAATGATTTCTCCTTCACCACCACCGTCCCACGCCACTCTGGGAGCCGGAGCATAGCGAGGTTGGGTGACGGGCACAGGGCACTCTCTAGGAAACTTCTCCGACTGGATGATCTTGACGGTGTCCATGGGGATGGCCATCGGCTGACGCCTGAGACAGGACATTCGCTCGGTTTAGGAGTTGTACGAGAGGAGGGCTGTGGCTCTGATCAGCAGTGGATTCCTGTGTTTGATTACGACCACGGAAAAGAAGATTAAGCCTTTCTTTTGAAGTCAGCCATTAGAGGTGACATGGGGACGAATGGTGTCCTCCATGTTTCCTTAGAAGATCTTCCCTGGCAGGTGATGTCGTCACTTTTTACGAGAAAGATAAAAGTTTATCCACACCAACCGAGTACTTAGCTCTTAATCGGTAACAGCTAACTTATCCAGATGACTTAACAGTCTGTTCACAGTGTCAGATCAGTGTTGACTAAAGAGATTGTTGTTGTTGTTTTGCTGTTTGTGTGAAAATGTTCCTGCTCAGTCTTTGATTGATGTCTGCAGATGACACAGGAATTTGTAATATTTTAGCACTAAGATATGTTCACACTCAGTTTAACCACCCTTACGTGCACCTAGATGTCCACATATACACAGACAGTACAGGTAGTGGGATAGTTTCCTTTACAGAGTGTGTCAGGACTGAGTCCAGGCAGTTCAGAAATGTTCAGAAGGTGTTACCTAAGATGCTGTTCCGTTTCCTGCAGAAGGAAACTAAATACGTATCATTAAAACCACCACTACACTTCCTTGTTGCAGCTGTGGTCGTTTTTTATCATGACTTGAGCATGTGAAAAAGAAAAATTTGGCCTTCGGTCTGCCTTCCTGCTCTGGTACTGTGTGGTCAGGAGACTCTGTTTGACCCCTTGGCTTTTGATGAGTAGGAGAGAAGGTCTTTCAGGGAGTAGTCCTATAAAACTCCAGAGAAATGTTGCAATGACTCCATTAAAGTCCAAGCTTCTTGAATTCCTCAGATGAGGGAGTGCAGAGGTTTATTGTTTAAAGGTAGATCTTCAGTCTTCAAAGCTAAGCAAAGAGAGCAGTAACAGTTTGACGTCCTTCTCTGTGCTGCGTCATCAGACTCATACCAGAGGTTCAAGATTCCTTTGGTCCATTCGTCTGTGGAAAGAGAAAAGACAGAAACAAAATGTTGGTTTTAGTATTACTGGTATGACTGGTCACAACTAGATCAGCGTTTATCATCTTCATCAAATGCCAAGACTCAAGAGGTCTCATGTCCAGACAAGATCTGGAGAAAGTCATTCAAGCCTTCATTTCCAGTAGGCTGGACTACTTCAATGATCTTTTGAATGGTCGTCCCAAAAAAGCTGTGAAGCAACTGCAGCTCATTCAGAACGCTGCTGCTAGAGTCTTAATAAGAACCAAGACAACCGAGCACATCACTCCTGTTCTTAAATCTCTACACTGACTACCAGTAAACTACAGAATCAATTTCAACTAGTTTATAAATCACTCAGCATACATGTTGGATCTCCTTCCAGTATATATGCCCAGGAGGGCTCTCAGATTCTTAGGAAACAGTCAGCTGGTAGAACCTCGGGTCAGAACTAAACAGGGTGACGCTGCTTTTAGCTTCTATGCTGCACACAGATGGAACCAGCCTCCTCATGACCTCAAATGTGCCCCAACTCTAGAAACTTTTAAATCAAAATTGAATGTATTAATCAGCTTTTGAATGAATGTTCCTTATGCCCCAACTTCTGCACTGTAACTACAATAATTCATTCAGCTCTATTTTTAGTGGTATATTTGTATTTTATCTAAATTCAGAGTTTGCCAGGACGGTTTCCACAGAAAATGTTTTCTTCTGTTTCCTTTGAAATCTTGGCTCCGTCTCAGCTGCTGAGATCACGTACATGTTGCAACTTCCTGTCACATGAATGTGCCAAAGGAAATAAATACCACACGCCCAGCAGTCACCTTACTTCAGGAGGAAGTTTTGATATTTATAAGTTAATTGATTTTAGTTAACTAGTTATTGCAATTGATGGTTCAGTCAGCAAAATGACGGCACATGATGCGAGTCAAAATTACACTGGTAGATGTTGAGTAGAAGCAGGTCCAAATTTCATATGATCACCTCGTGAATTTTAATAGCTTCAGTAGAAACTTTAAAGTTAAACTGAAACATTGCAGATAAAGTCACAGAAAATCTACTAACTAATCGAGGAAAACCATGAATTATATGTACGGGGAGAAGTGTTTTCTGAGTGACAACAGGTGCTCTGATTAATGATGGCTCAATGGCGGTATGGAAGGAATGAGAAACAAAAAGCACCGGTAGCATCTATTGGTAATGTTGGTACAAAAAGCAACTAAATGGCCAAATAACCCACATAAATCCATACACACGTCTAATAATCCAAAGAAAACCTCGACAAGTACTTCCCAACAGAATTTAAAATACTACAAATATAAGCTGCCATTTAAAGCCTAAATCAGTTATTAAATTTGTATTTAATCATACTTTTGATTACTGGAATTAATATAATTAAATTGCAAATATGGTTTTATTACTGGATTTACTGTTGAAGACAGATTTTAAATATACTTTGTTTTCCTGATGGGTAGATTAGGATTGTTGGTGAATCTGATTTCCTTCTTTCATCTACTCAACCAAGAAGGAAAAGAAAACTTCTGCATTTATTTATTTTGTATTCCAGTAAATCTACAATGAAGGTTTTGTGCAGACAAGATCCAACGTTCCCAGTGCATGGATGAAGTGTATCCCGATCCCGATGTGCTTGGAGAGTACTGAACTGGAGCGAAATAAAGATGGGAAATAAATCTTTTTACAAAAACACAAAATGATTTTTGTCTGAAAATGTTCAAAGATACATTAGGTTCAACATGAAAATGCTTACATTGATATAAAAGTAGTTTTTGTATTTCTTTGAAATTGTTTGTAACCAATAACCAGTCAGGATTCTAAATCCCATTCATCCATTTTCAGCCGCCTATCCAGGGCCGGTTACCCTAACCCTAACCCGAAGCCCAGACTTCCCTCTCCCCAGCCACTTGGGCCAGCTCCTCTGGGGGAATACCAACACGTTCCCTGGCCAGCCGAGAAACATGCTCTCCAGCATGTCCAGGGTGTTCCTTTAGGTCTCCTCCCAGTTGGACGTGCCTGGAAAACCTCAACAGGGAAGCCTCTAGGAGACATTCTAACCAGACGCCCGAGCCCCCTCAACTGGCTTTTCTCGATGTGGAGGAGCAGCGGATCTACTTTGAGCCCCTCCCGGATGACCAAGCCTCTCACCCTATCTCTAAGGGCACCCAGACACCCTTCTGGCTCAGCTCTTTCTTCAACACAACAGACCGGTACAATGCCCAGATCACTGCAGGCGCAGCAGCAATCTGCCTATCGATCTCACGCTCCATCTTTTCCTCACTCGTCAACGAGAGACAGGACCTTGTTCATGACCCGGAGAAGGCTTTCTACCCTTCTCAGATTCAAGACCATGCTGAAGATCTGATTCTCACACCAGCTGCTTCACACTCGACTGTGAACCAATCCAGTGACAGCTGGAGATCACGGATTTAAAATAGAAGAGCTCACTTTAAAAATATATGAAAGCGATTTTGATCTAAATCACCAAACTTCATTTTAATTGATATCATATATGGAGTCAATAAAAGTAAAAAATCTGATGATTTTGATTTCAAACAAACCTAGTTTCTTTAAACCAGTAGCTATGGAAGCAAAAACGTGTTGTAACGCTGATAGATGTAAGCAATAGTTTCCTCACTATGTGAACAGAGCAGATTGTGACACAGTTGTAGGTCTCTGCTGTTCTTCCGGCCTCTTGTCAAGACACACCACCTTTTACGGTTTTACGTTGGTTTTGTTTGCTCTGACATTCAAAGGAGGAGGTTACAATCTGTGTGGTCAATTAGTGTCATACTGCGTGGGGGTTTGTGGGAAGAAAAAAATAAATAAACGAGCAGATGAACATGTTTGACTTGACCAAAACAATAGCAAAAGCTGGAGGATGACACATATTTCACTCTGTGCTCGGCTGTCGACAGCTATGATTCATGGTAGGAGAAAAGAAAAACTGAGCAGAGGAGGTAGCCTACACGGTGATGAAAAGAGACAAAGAACAGAAAGAAAACTGACGAGAGCACAACACAAGTCCTGGTTTCTATTTATGATGTGTTGTGACCTTCTTTGTGGCTCCCTGCCCCTGAACAGACACCCTGCATGAGAACGATGCACCCATCTACGGAAGTGCTTCGTAATCCGGTGAGAAATGACAACCACAAACTTCTTCATTAATCTGATGACTGTCCCTAACCGGCTCTGCAGCAATGCAACAATTCACCCGAAATAGTCTCATCCTGTGAGCACACAGTCTCTGAACACACACGGCAGGCTAACACACACATTTCACAAAGTTGGACTGCACAGATAGCATACCGTAAGCGTGTGGCGTGACTTTTCAGAGATTACACGGTGTCACATAAAATAACAAATGTACAAAATACTATTTCCTTCACAATTCTGAACAGTTTAATAGGTAATAAAAACCTTATTTAGTCAAGTTCAAAAATCATCATTTCATCTTCATTTTTGTTATTTGTAGAACATCTTTTCACCACCAGGTGAGTTGGCCTAAAGTGCTGTACACTAAAACCAGAGAAAATAATTAAAACAGATAAAAACATTCAGTCAAATAATTCAAACAAAAGCACAAGATTTTTTAGACTTGTCCAAAGCCAATAAAAGCAAGAAAAGTGACAAATCACAGATTGATGACAGAGATAGGATCAACTTAGTTTTTAAACCCTGCACTGACCACCTAATGCTGACTGGTATGGTTCCAAGAGAATACATCACTGCCTTGGGAAATTTAACTTGTTCTTGCTTTTTCAATGTTTTCATATAAAGATGTTGTTACTCGAGGACAGTTCAGCTTACACTGTTCATTTGTTTATTCAGATTTGTCACTGATTTAAATAAGGTCTACCTTTATGCTCATTTAAATTGCATTCAAGTGTTAGAACAGAGTTGATAATACAAACCATTGGAACGATAAATACCAAATGCCAACTGACACCCATTATTTAAAACAAAACAGTAAAAACTAAGGACGGAAAAGATGAACGATGCTGGTCTTCTGATTAGTCAGTGATGGGGAGATGGAAAACTTCAAGCACTCAGGCTCTGAAGTGGGTGTTTGTGGAACTCCCACATAAAAGTTGTTGAATAACACATTCCATCATGTCACAAAAACTGTCTCTCATTGAGTTTTCAAACATGACTCAGAGCCAAAAGAGTGAACTCTTCAGAGCTCTGATCAAATTGAGCAATCACAAGATGCTCAGGAGCAAAGAATAGAATCCCTTAATTAAACTGAATACTAAATCATGATTTTGGAAAACAGTGGACTCTTGATTATTTAACACAGTTTTGCATTTGGCAGAACACGCCTTGAGTTCACAGCAAATGCAAATTTACTTCAGCAGGTTGATTTTGCATAGCCTGGCCTGCCAGACTCGACCTCTGTTTAATTCTGCACAGAGAAAGAGTCTGGTAACTCACAGACAGAGAGGCACTTGAGGGGCGGGACTAGGCAGCTCAAAAATGACCAATCAGAAAAAAGATGGAAATCCCGACAATACCGCACAACGCTGTAGTTCTATAGTAAAAAAATTGTGTCTGGCAACGGCGCAAACATCTTTTATTTTTTTTTAGAAGAGATGATTTTAGCGCTTCTACTTGTGGTTTTAAAGACATTTGAGTCATTTAGAACAGAGGAAAGAGCCGCAGCAAACTCCGCCGCTGTCTTTGTTGTTTATGAGAAACTGAGCATCACTGTGTGTGACGTCCGCGACACTGTCGTTTTTTAGCTGTAGTCAAAAATGGAGTTGGGCAACAGCGCAAACATCTTTCTTTAGAAGAAAGGCTTTTAGTGCTTCTACTTGTTGTGTCCAAGTTATTTAGACCAGAGGAAAGAGCTGCAGCGAACTCAGTCGCCATGTTCGACAAACTCGGTGTTGTGGTGTGTGACGTACGCTACTCAGCGCTGATTGGCTCGGTTAGAATTCTCACAGGGTGGAGTTATTTGAACAGGAGAGCTGCCAGCCTCTTTCTCTGTGCAGAATTAAACAGAGGACGAGTCTGGCAGGCCAGGCTAGATTTTGCAGACACTTTAATCCATATAGACATATTAATCTAATGTGCATTTTCTAGGCCAGCAGTAGAGTTTTCTGTTTGATGGTGATTAAAACGTATCAAAACTAAATCCTGAAACAGATGATTTCATCATAATAATATATAAGATAAAGACACCTAAGCCTGTTTACATTAAAAACACTAAGATATTAGGTTTGAAGGCATTTAGACACTAACTAGCTAAATTTAAAGCTGTTATGGCAAATCTGAAAACAAGCAACGTTTTGAACGTGGACCAAGAGTTGGCAGCCCTTTGAATGCAAACATCACCCCTCCCCTCAGGTATGTCTCCTGAGCCGCTCCTGCCAGAAACCCGCAGTATCAGAGGAAACAGGAGAGCGCTAAACACCAATCACTGTTTTCTAGATCCAAACGCCTTTTGTTGTCTGTGACTTCAAACGGTGTTTTTCTTTTTGGGACTTTGGTGGCTTGGGTCAGGGTTGAAGTGGTAGCAGCCGGCTGTTTCTCCTTCTCTGATGTTATTGAGCACAGAACCTCTCACACCAGCAGTGTTCTGTTGCCAAATACGTGAGTGTGTAATGAGTGGAGGACCCAGGGAAGTGCGGCGGGTCGGCAAGCCCAAAAACCGGATGGTCCAATATTTGCCTTTGATTTGAAACGTGTCATTGGTGGAGGGTTTTAGATAAATGTGAGAAAACAAATTTACAATTTTCTTCTTTCAAAAATAAATCTCCACTATATATTTATAACTATACTATGGTAGAATATTGCTAAAAGGCATGAAAAAAAATTTAAGGTATAAGTTTTTTTTTCCAGTTTTGTCATTGTAGCTTTAATTGGCCAATTGATCAAAGGTCCAAGTACACAGTTTGTAGGTTCATGTTTGGCCATTGTGTTTTGCCTTTGTTCTGCCATCTTTATTCCTGCTGACCACCGCAAGATGCATGTGAATGTAGCCATAAAAAAGGGGGAACATGCGTGGTATTTAGAAGTGTAGCGTTAACAGCTGCCCCTTTACACAGTAACAACGTGCATGAATCGCCAAGGTCGGATGCTGGTTTCAGTATGTTTACATTCCAGGAGAAGAGACAGAAGAAGAGAAGAAGAACGCTTTCCATTAATTAATCAAAGTACTTTATTCGTGATAAAGCTGATCAAAGCATATGTTGATCAATAATAATCAGGTGAATGATCTGTGAAATAAAGATGTCATGAGTTATGTGTTTAATGAATAAACAGGACTGCACCAGACAGACTGATCTACATTAACATGGAAACGCATGACACATTGTTCTCAACCAATCAGAACTTTCGTCTGTCGTAGGGCAGAATCTGGGTTGTTTAATGAAGTTGTCCAATCCAGTTTACTAAGATTTGTAAACAACTAGGGGATATAAAACAAGGCTACGCCATTTTAAACTCAGTTCCATTTTAACCTCAGTTCTGTTCAGTTGGAGGTCCTAAGGAGTTCCATCGACATCATTAAGAAAGTCGCAGGCTGGCCAGCTGCACTTTCCTACTTTAAACTGAGAACTGTCAAGCTGCAGATTTCCGTCGTTTGAACAACAAGACGACGTTCCTTCAAAATAAGAGCTAACTCGCTGACACCTGCCGCTGATACCGGGAGTCGATCCGCAGACGGGCTTTGTCGTGCTGCGACCGCTGTTCCACCAGCTCCAGCACATCTGAAGGTCCGAGGACCTGGCATTTCCTGATCTAACACGGGAGGCTCCAGACGGTACATGGTTACGGCAAAATGGCTGCTCGTCATCAGCTTCTGAAGCCTCGTGATTCCTAGTCATAACAACCAGATCCGCTACGTCAGCCTAGAGATTCTGAACAACACACACACCCACACACCAACACTATAACATTCAAATCCATCTGCATCCATCATTGAGATAGTCCTGGTAGATTGTAAGAATTTATAATTATAGAAATTAAAGATTCTTAAACGATCCCAACTCTCTCTTTTCTTGTCTCTCACTCAATACAGTGTTTAAGTAAACTCCCTGATGATAAAAACAACCACTTCTGATTATAATATTTAGATCTAATTACAGTGTATAAATATATGATCTATATTTCACTACAGACAGTATGGCAACTAAACATTGTGCTTACATTTAATTGAATTATTCTTGTAATTGTTCAGAGCTTCAATTGAAACAAATTTGATTAACTGAACAGCTGTAACCTAGACAACATAAGGGGTCATTAAGATAAAGAGGTAAAAATGACCCACTGGTTTGCTGCTACTAACATGAAAACAACTGAGCTGAACAACTTTGGCTCGCCCTTCTCCTAACCGACAAAACCCACTCCAGTTACGTAAGGAGCTCATCCTCTAACCAAACCCCTGTACAGAGGCAAGGGAAACTGTGGCAGTTCTCCACAGTTTTAACTTAGTGTTTGTGTGCATTCACAGCCATGGATGATCTTCCAGCACAGGAACTATTACACTAATGAAATCATGGCAGGCATTTGACCTCATCAAGAGAGAGAGAGAGAGAGGCAAGCTGGCCACAGGGATGTCAGAGGAGTCAACCTCAGCAGCAAATTCCTCATGCAATTAAACACACACAAAGTTACATTCACCTTTTAGTGGCATGAACACACACATCGCAGAACATTCCTACCCTCTGATAATTCTCCATCATGTGCATGGCACCACCCTTTGCATTCCTGCGGAAACAAACAATCTTACAGCGGGCCGAATGTTTGTGTTTCTAAACATATTCATGAAAAACCATGCAGCTCTGCAAAACACTCCTACAGTTTCTCCCTGTTTTCATTCACTCACACACACACTCACACACACACACACACACACACACACACACACACACACACACACACACACACACACACACACACAGACAGCTCAGCATGGACAGAATCTACGTGTGCAGATCAGATGAAGGGCAACGTGTTCTGAATGAGTCACGGTGCGCATGAATATTTCTGTCTTGTTTTCATGCTAAAATTATCAGAAAAGAGGATGCAGGTGCCTCTGCCCCACAGCTGTAGGAGAATGTCAGGTATGCCGACTATGTCAGGATTTTTATTGAGTCCATGTAAAGGTACACAAAAAATATGGGTTCTTCTTGAACATGTGTGTAAATGTGTGTTATGATTACGTAATGTGTCATGGTCCTAGCAGGTTGGGAGGACAAATCCCATGATTTACTGGATGTATACAGCTGGTATTATTTCAAAGATAATAATAATAATAATAATAATAATAATAATAATAAATATGATAATACTGATTATTTTCTGGTATTGAGGTATACACAGAGAGATGTGTTACTCCTGTCTCATGTTTATACCTCAAGCAGAAATGACTAGGGGGTGCTGTGAGGTGTTGGTTGGTTTAAACAACACAGCCTGCTTTCATTCATGGCAGACATCGGCCATTTTGCCTTGCAATTCATTACAGCCAATTGCTCTTTGTTCTTTTCTGTGTGGCTTCCGAACCAGCGTGACAGAGCTGCAGGCTGAGAACTAAAAGCACCGACACTGGCCTCATAGAAGATTTATGAGGGAGAAGCTCGGCAGTAGCAGCAAAGGGCTGACTGACCAAAGCTAATGATTGAGGCTGTCTCAGCACAGGTCAGCTGATGCTGTCCGCTCCAGAAATGTACAACAAAAAGACAGGTGGCCAAAATATTTGGGTTTTTGTGAGATGAAGCAGCTTCAGCGCACGACTTTGCAGAAATGGGAGGGGTTCAGGATGCAGAGGTTATGCAATCGCAGCATGGTGTTCCGAGTGCCCTCACTGCAGCGCCGATGCATGGCCAATCCGAAGATGCCTCAGTGGTGCTGACAACTACAGAACAGGCCATTCCTGCCCCATGTCTATTACACCCCTCCTCAGCCCATGCTGTCTGCGTGTGCAGAGGTCTGTCAAATGTCATGGAAACAGGAAACCCTTAACCTACACATGAGAAGGATCTAATCATCTGCTTATGGTCTCTTTGTCCTTTAGTGTTTCCATTCATTCATCTGCAGGTGTCTGTGTGCCTACGACATGATGCAACAACTCTTATCTTTGGTGCAACAAAGCAACAATCCACATTTGTTATTGTCTGTCTTGAACAAAAACGATAGAAAACAGATGATATGAAAGCAGTGAAGATGGATTTCAGAGATTATTCTGACACATGATGTTAGAGTCACAACAAAAGATCTTTCTCACCTGTCTGACTACGTGTTTGTCATATTTCCAGCTTTCCTCACGTCCTGCTTGCTCATAGTCTTGCCATCAGCTTGATGATTTCGTCTTTGTCTGGAGGACGTCTCATCAGCGGGGGGATGCTCTCTCCTGCCCGTTTTGATGTTCTTGAGGTTTCAACAACATGGAGGAGACGTAAGATGGAGGAGGCTGTTGTAAGGTGGAAACATCAGGCTGCATCCGTCTACCTCTGTGTCCTCTGCTCCTCTTCGCCTCTCCTCTTTTGCGCCTGTCTACTTCAGCCTTTCTATTTGTGGCTGATCATCTGTCTCCTGCATCTTTTTCTCCATCACCCTTCTGTTACCTCCGTTTACACAAACAGTTCAGCAGATTCTGCGCAGCGGCCAGACCTTCTGTTGTCTCTCAGCTGTCTGTCCTTATTTCTCTCTCTTCCTTCTTCCTTCTCTTCTTCAGGTGAACCTCAAGCTTCTCCGTCTGTCCGTCTCCTCTGCTATCATCCCTCCACTGCCATTCATCACAACCCCTTACCCTCTGCCGTCAGCTCCGCTCAGTGCATCCCACAGCCACACATGCGCGGTCTCTTCACACACTCACACACACGGTCTCTGCTCAGACTTTAATGCGTGTGGTTGATTTTGCTTGCCCCGCCCCTCCTCCTCCTCCCTCTCTATCTCTCACACAGACCAAATCTCTTTTTCCTCCCCATCGCTGCAGCATTCACTGCAGTGCCTCTGCAGGCGGGATCATGTTTGCTCGTCGCCAGAGAAAATATTTCAGCCAATCAGGACGGACCTCACCCCCACCCCCATTTGCACACACAAACACAAGCCTTCTGAGATGCAAAAGCACCGCCAAAAAAGCTATGAATCATACTTTACATGCAGGCATATGGTTCAGCAGCACAGGCCACGCAGGAAGCACAGGAAGCTTGTGAAAACACATCTCATCTAAAGACAGCCGCGCACTGGAGCTGGGAAACACAGGCTCAGTCATAAATTACCTTTGCATCAGGAAACGGATCCATCAGCTTCATCACAGACCACATGCCTGCTTTCCTCAGACGGCCAGCAGCTAAACAGAAAAGGAAAATGGAGAACTCTGATTTATTTGTTATTATAAAATCACCCAAAAGCCAAGGCAGCATCCTAGGCTCCTACACAGGCGGGAAGGTTGCATAACAAGGATTTAAATCCATTTCTGACCAATAAAAAATACTCAGACCAAAGAACATGTCAGAAAATAAACACTTGAGCATCAAACACACACACACACACACACACACACACACACACACACACACACACACACACACACACACACACACACACACACACACACACACACACACACACACACACACACACACACAAAGCAATCCATAACACAAAACATAAAAAAGAGCCTTCTGTTTAGAGGAGCTTTACCAAGAAGCGTGATGAAGTATCTTTAGGGGAAAAGACAGAACTAACTCATCTTTGCTGTGACACAGTGAAGGGGCCTCAAACTAAACTAAATTAAATTCAATTCAATTCAATTTTATTTATATAGCGCCAAATCACGACAAGAGTTGTCTCAAGGCACTTCACATAATAAACATTCCAATTCAGGTCAGTTCATTAAGCCAATCAGAAATAATATAATTTTTCCTATATAAGGAACCCAGCAAATTGCATGAAGTCACTGACTAGTGTCAGTGACTATACAGCAATCCTCATACTAAGCAAGCATAAAGCGACAGTGGAGAGGAAAACTCCCTTTTAACAGGAAGAAACCTCCAGAGAATCCCGGCTCAGTATAAGCAGCCATCCTCCACGACTCACTGGGGATTGAGAAGACTGAGCAGACACACACACACACACACACACACACACACACACACACACACACACACACACACACACACACACACACACACACACACACACACACACACACACACACACACACACACACACACACACACACACACACACACACACACACACGCACGCACGCACGCACGCACACACACACGCACACTCACAAAGACTAGTAATGTGTCTACAGTTATATTGTGATGTCTTAGTAAATATTCTATTTGGTGAAAGATAAACTTTATTGAATTTGTCCTAGTGGATCTATTATTAAATGGATAAACTGAAACACTCTGGAACAAACTATTCATTTGTGCAGCATCATTGGGTAAATACTGTATGTTTAATTTATGATCAGAAACAGTAATTACAATGTATCTTCACTGTGGTTAGCATTAATGATGTGGGATGCTAATGATTCAACCCTGGCCCCATCCTCTTGTTGATGGAACTTTTATTTTTTGGCCTTATTGTAAAACTGTGAGAGTTATCATACTAAACCATCATCGTATAGCTAGCCAGGTTTGTTTACTTTGTGACTGATGAGTCTGCATTTTAAAGCATCCCTAAAGTCACTCTTCCATGACGGATTCAAACTAGTTTCTGTCAGTTATTTACTTTTCTAAATGTTACTCAAACGTTTTCTAAAAACAGCTGCCTTTTTCATTCATGTCTGCCAGGTTCTTGCACAAGACCATGATGGCACGGTGTTCAGCATTTCTAAAAAAGGGAAGAAACTCAACTAGGGCTGAAACGATTCCTCGAGTAACTCGAATAATTCGAGTACAAAAAATCCTCAAGTCAAATTCTCTGCCTCGAGGATTCGTTTAATTCATATTTAATTAATTCATGGCTTTGCAATCGCACGGGGTCATGTTTCACCCTGACCGAAATAAGTGACGCACATGCCCACTGGACTGAATGCACACGGGAGTAGCGAATGTAACTTAACTTTCTCTTAAGCCATGGCGGACAACTTGAACCCCCGTGGAGTGCGAAAAAGACAGAAAATGTAAAAGTTGTGGAACCATTTTTCACGTCGTAAGTTGGAAAACGTAGTCCAGTATAAATACTGTAAAATGGATTTAGCCTACCACAACACCACATCCTCCGTGCTGCAGCACCTGTAAATGTCCCTTCTGCAAGCGGACTCAGAGCCTCTACAAGATAATGCATTTTAGCCTGTTTTTCTACATATTCTGCAGACACTGTGCGACTTTTTCGTTTGTAGCACTCAGTTTCAGCTCACCGTACATCTGCAGGTAGCAACACGTCGGACTTAAAATGTGCTAAAAAATAGCAGTTTTTACACAATATGTCGGACTTTTTATTGTGTTGTTATTGATATTTGTTGTCCCTCGGGATTGCTGCAGGAGGACACGGGTATTTATGAGTGACGGAGGAAAACGAAAGAAAGTAAATAAATGTTTTGTGATCAGTATAATTTGACAAAACCACGGCAAACATGCTTTCGACAATCCTTGTTGTGTGAGAAAAAAAAGTGTAGAAATTAAAACGGACGTGTGTTAATAAGGAAACAGGGGCGAGCTGTTTGCGCCGTGAGCGGTTCTGGTTCTGTTTGGGCCGCAGCCGCTCGCAGCGTTATCCTCCTAGTTTTTGTCTGGCTTGCAGGCTAGCAGATTCTCGCACGAGGGGAAAATCGGCTCGGGTTGTATGCTTATTTTTTGCACACGCATTTGTTTACTGTGAAGTAAAGTTGAAGTGCTGAAGTTTTGCAAACTTAATTTTGAATAAAACTTGAAGAATAACTGGCAATTGCTTGCTCATTTTGAGAGGTCTTTCATAATTATAACATGCTATTTGATATAATGGTTTACAAACACAAAAGGGTAATTTATTAGAGTACTCGATTAATCGAAAAAAAGATTCGATAGAGTACTCGATTACAAAAATATTCGATAGCTGCAGCCCTAAACTCAACCACGGTGCAAAACCTCAAAGATTTACAGCTGGTGATATTTATGCTTTTAAGGGTCCTAAATCATGCATAATCAACATGTGTTATTGTTATTTCCTCATGAAAAACACCTCCAAAGTGGTTTTGGGCTTCACGCATGCATTTCCCTGTCTCAGTTGCGATTAGCAACAACCCATCCAGGCTGCATCCAGCTGGATGGGGTTGATGCTGCGTCAGCACGGCCCTCTCCTCCTCATCCAGGTAGTCTATCATCCAGGGGTGGATTTAGGATTGAAAAATATCCAGGGCTTAGCCCAGATGAGTGATGTTCTACTTTTTAATGAAACCTTTCAACTTTGACTATCTTAAAGCAGACAAAAAGCACTAGATTACACTCATAAACGTATAAACTCTCAGGAACTTTACATTAGGATTTGAAGAAGAAGAAGAAAGAAGAAAATATTATTTCTATAGCGCCTCTCAAGATAAAAATCACGAGGCGCTTCACAAAAACAAAAATAAAAAATATAAAAATTGTAAAAATATAAAAAAGCATTTCGAAAATGTTTAAAAATATATTTAAAATGAGCAAGAATAAGCAATTGGGATTTAAAAGAAAAAATGTTAAGAAAGAGAGAGAGTGAATAGGAAAGAGGGAAATCAGTGGATCCTGAGGAAGGTGGAATAGGTGGAGAGAGCAGAATAAAGAGAGAGTGGTGAAGAAGGTCATACAAAAGCCAGCTTGAACAAGTGAGTCTTCAGCTGCTTCTTAAAGGAGACCACTGAGTCCACTGATCTCAGGCTCAGGGGGAGAGAGTTCCAGAGTCTGGGGGCCACAGCAGCTAATGATCTGTCACCTTTGGTCTTTAGCCTGGTGCTGCACAACCAGTAGGCTTTGATCACTGGACCTCAGGGACCTGCTGGGTGTGTAGGGACTCAGATCACCAGTGTAAGATGGTGCTTTTCCATGTAAGGCCCTATAGACCAGAACCAGGATCTTGAAATGAACCCTGAAGTTGACTGGCAGCCAGTGGAACTGGAGGAGAAGCGGGGTGATGTGGGTGTGTTTGGAGGACTTGGTCAGAAGCCGAGCACAGGCATTCTGAACCACCTGTAGACGGTTCAGGGAGGTTCTGCTCAGACACGTGAAAAGAGAGTTACAGTAGTCTAAGCGTGAGGAGATGAAGGTGTGGAGAACTGTCTCAAGTTCAGAGCGAGACAGAATGGGACTCAGCTTAGCAATGTTCCTGAGATGGAAGAAGGAAGAGCGAACAAGAGAACACATGAGAATCCAGGGTTAGAGCTGGGTCAAAGGTCACACCAAGATTCCTGACGGAAGGTTTGGTGTGGGAAGCAAGCTGACCAAGAGAGTCTCTGACTTTGGGAACCAGCTTGTCTGGGGCACAGATGAGGATCTCAGTCTTATCTTCATTCAGCTGTAGAAAGCTCCCAGCCATCCAGGTTTTGATAGAGTCTAAGCAGGTGTGTAACAGCTGCAGCTTAGACATCTCATGGGGCTTAAAGGAGATGTACAGCTGGATGTCATCTGCATAAAGATGGTAGGAGATTCCTTTGAAGGAGCTCAGGATGTGCTGAAGAGGAAGCAGATAGAGGAGGAAGAGTAGAGGCCCCAGCGCAGAACCTTGTGGGACACCATGGGTAAGAGAGGTGGTGGAGGACCTAAACTTGGAGACGACCACAGAAAAGGAGCGCTCAAAAAGATAAAAGGAGAACCACTCCAGAGCAGATCCTGATAGGCCTACCCAGTCTCTCAGCCTCTCCAGTAGCAGGTGATGGTCAACAGTGTCAAAGGCTGCAGTCAGGTCCAGCAGGAACAGAACAGAACAGTCCCCTGCATCACAGTGAGTCAGAAGGTCATTAGAGACCCTAAGAAGAGCTGTTTCAGTAGAATGAGCTCTACGAAAACCTGACTGGAGGCTATTATAGATGTTATGTTCATCAAGAGCAGCTGTGAGTTGTTTAGCCACAACCTTTTCCAAGATCTTGGAGATGAACGGAAGTTTAGAGATGGGTCTGAAGCTGCTATGGAGAGAGGCGCCAAGACTCGGTTTTTTAAGAAGCGGGTGGATTACAGCATTCTTAAAGTAAGCAGGGACCTGACCAGAAACCAGAGAAGCATTAATTATAGAGAGCACGCTGGGACCGATGGACTGAAAAGCACTTTTAAACAAAGATGAGGGTAAGATGTCGAGGGGGCATGCAGAGGTCTTCATAGAGTTGACTAGTTTGGTTAACTCAGGCAAAGAAACAGGAGCAAAGCTATCTAGGATGATGGGCCTGGTTGGAGTCGGGAGAGGCGGCAATAAGGCTGAAGGAGAGATGCTAGATCTAACCTTATTGACTTTGTCCACAAAGAAAGACAGAAAGTTCTCATAGTCTGTAACAGAGTGGATGGAGGCTGTAGGAGAGGCAGGAGACACGATGCTGCTGATGGTGTTAAACAGCACCTTGGGGTTCCCTTTGCTCTGGGACACCAGGTTGGAGAAACAGGAAACCCTAGCGTCTCTGACTGCAGAGTTAAAGGATGTCAGAAGATCCTTTAGGTGCAGCAGATGGACGTGGAGATGGGTTTTCTTCCACAAGCGCTCAATTTTTCTGCATTGGCGCTTCAGGCTGCAAAGGCTGTCATTAAACCAGGGAGTAGGGTTCACTGCAGGAACTGATCTGGTTCTGACAGGACAGATGTTGTCCAGAATGGAGAGGCAGTGCTCGCTAAACTGAGAAGTTAAGGAATCTGGGTCGTTATCAGAAGAACAGGGTGGATCAAAAGCAGCAGAAAAATTGCTAGCTGTGCTCTCATTAAGAAAACGAGAACTAACCATACAGTGAGCAGGAGATGGGGACGCAGAAACTGACAAGTTAAAGAAAATGCAATGGTGATCTGAAAAAACACAAACACTGTCAGCATTTAGACTGTCAGCATTTAGACTCAGGGTAAAAACAAGGTCTAGAGTGTGCCCCCTGGTGTGTGTAGGGCCAGAAACATGCTGGGCAAAGCCAAAGGAGTCCATAAGGCTGGAGAAATTCATGGCAAAGTGGTCAGAGGGATCATCAACATGGATGTTAAAGTCACCAACAATCACCAGTCTGGACAGCTTCACAGTTGAGGATAGAAAGTCACTAAACTCCTGAAGGAAAGAGCTGTTTGGACCAGGTGGACGATAGACCACAGCGCAGTAGAACGGGTCCTTACACCCGACTTTAATCAGCTGCAGTTCAAAGGAAGCAAAGTGATCAGAGGTTGTAGAGCTACATGGAAGATGGTCTCTGAAAACAACAGCTAGGCCTCCACCACGACCAGAACCCCGGGGCTGGCTAAGAAAAGAATAACCACTCGGGCAAAGTTCAATCAGAGCAGAATAATCAGATGTTTGCTGCCAAACTTCAGTCAGAAACAGAAAATCCAGATTTTTAGACAGAAGTAGATCATTGAGCAGTAAGGTCTTATTGTTAACAGAGCGGGAATTTAATAGAGCCATGCTGAGTGAGGAGGAATCAGAAACTACAGAAACAGCTGGAGTTAGTGGACGTAAATTAGCAGGGTTAGATCCACGATGTTTATAAAAACCACTTATGGAGGGAACAGGAGGAGAAACCACTGAGGATTGAGGATAAACCAACCTTAAAAAACTTGAACGGATGAACCACGTCCCAACGCGGCCTGGCGGGAATGCGGAAGTGGCGCTCAGGTCACCAAACAAAGGACAAGAAGCTAGAAGATCGCGCCGATGTTTACCAGATAAACCACGCTTTAAGAGAAGTCTTATTCTCACCTGGATTCCTGCTCGTTTACTCTTTTCCTCCGACGTTTTCCCGGGAACGGACAAACATCGCTAGAGGTGCGCAGCTCTGGATCGTCGATTGCTTCCGGGCCGGTGCGCCGCTCGGGTAAACAAACAGGATGGTAAATCCTCGGTGCATCTTGGGTGATTGTGAACGAACGAAAGGACAAAAGAGTCTGGCGATCATAGGAAATGGTAGCGGGGACACTACTGAAGAAGATCGCAGACAGGAGCAAGGTGGAAAAGAGGAGGTTAGTGGAGAAAAGTTTGAAAAAGTGGCCGGTGACCGCGGCTAAGCCAAGCACAGGCGCCATCTTGCCGACCGGAAGCCAAAAGAGCCAGTAATCCTAACATGTATTCATATCCTTCCATTAAAGACGAGACAAAATTCACAAAAGTCACTGAAAAAATACAAACTCAAAGTATAACAAATGAAAAATAACTAAATTAAAATCTGCTTTACTATCATTGTTCAACAACAGGAAGTGCAGCCAGCACAATGAAATTGCTAAAGTCCTGATCCCAGTATTTACATGAGTAAAGAAAAAGGACAAATCACAGGTTAAATAAAAACACCATCAACACTGCTGGCATCTGGAAGTGAAATAATTACAACTAGGTTATTGTAAAGATTTTGGTGCATGTGTGCATTCAGAGTGGTGATCACTTGAGGAAAGTAACTGTTCTTGAGCCTTGAAATAAAACTTTGCTTTTTAACTGTTGTTGAAACAAATAATTAAACAAAACAGTCTAACTGCTGAGGGTTAAAACACCTGTCAACAGGCACAGAGTCTCAGAAATCATCTGGCTGCAGTGATCTCAAAGTGTTGTTCAGCAGAATTTTAGTTTATGACCATGGTTGTTTTAAATATTTCTGTTCGAAAGCAATGTCCTGATTTTAGATGTACTATTACTTTTGTTAATATAAACATATTTCAGTGACAGCATAGTACTGAGACTGACTGTTTTGTTCAAAATCTTGAATGATGTGTTTTCAGTAACAGTGTGTTAATTTTATTTAAATGCACACGACTGCCAGATTGCAAATGATCAAAAAATGAGCCAGAATGTGACTGTGGTTTCACTAAATAATTGCTAAATTCCTCCAGTACCTGAGTGGGTTTTCAGATGCATTACTTCCATTACTTCCTTCAAACCAGTAGTGAGTACAATCAAAATGCTAACTGATAGCTAAATGGATAAAAAGTTAGTGGGTGAGCACTGGATTGGGCACTCAGCAGTTACATGTCAGGCACCACAAAGTATCCTAAAGCTGTTGTTACTGCTGCTGGTGTTTGGCAAAAACTGCTTTGCTGGCAATTTAGAGTTATGTTATGAAATGGGTAAATCTAAGCATAACTTTCATGTCTGCAAAAATTGACCTCTCAATAGTGACAGTGGTAATATTTAATCATATATTGTACCTATCATTGCTGTAAAACAGCATGATACAGTCCCTTTAAATCTTTTTTTTTACACTGTACATTTTCTTGCTCTCATATTGTGGTGTCACCCAGAGACTTAGACCCACTTCCATGTATTTTATGATTATATGTTTTGAAGCCACCATATTAACAACTGGGCATCATTTCAATAATATTGAGCAACAATTTTGAAGAAAGTTTCCTGAGATTCTTGGTAAAAACTGCACATTGTCACTTTAATTAAACTGCTTAAGAGTAAAATTCATCTAAGTCTACTGTTTCACCCTGTGGCCACCAGAGGGCATATGATCTGACATGTTTGTAGCCTACTGCTAGCTAGCTGCTAACAGTACCTGCATTAGCTAATTGATTAAACCTTACTGAACACATTTAACTAAAATAGATTTATTGAGTTTTAGTAGTTTGTATAAATTAAGACCTGGCCTTGCTGTTATTTAGGCTATGTTGTTAATGCTAATTTAAAACTTGCTTTATTTTGAAGGAATTTATTGAAAGTTCTGGTGAGTTTTGTCTTGTTTAGCTTCACGAATGCTGCCTGTAGTACCGTCTTTTCTATGCGAGAGGGCGGGAAAATAGATGCTCTCTAATAAACATTTGGGGAAGTTTTCCTTCTTATTTCCCCCTGAAACTGTTGTAAACACACCTGGTATTTAATATGATTTTGTGACTTGCCGGTGCTCATTTACCTGGTTTCATAAACTTGGTGTAGAAGTGAAGGGTGGACCTTTGTGGTGACAACAACATGCAACTGCAGGCAGCTCAAGCTAAAGCTTAGCACTTAAGTAAGTAATATTTTTAAATGGCTAACAGAATTAATATTACATGACTACATTTGAATTTTGCTAGTTTAAAACAAACATTTCACGTGCATTTGATGGCACATAAATGTCTTATTTGTAAAAGTATATGGTTTTGTGTCAATTATTTTATGTCTCATTTTTTATAACATGCTTTTAGTCCTACTTGGCTTTGATTTAAACTCTTTTGGTAAAGCAAATACAATGTGTAGTGGCATTGAACTTGTAAAACTGCAATTTTATAAGCTTATAAGATGAAATGAGTTTTCTTTTACTTAAACTATGACCAGTGAGAGAATTGGCTGGAAAAAAGTATGGTGTAAAGGGGCTTTATAGCCAGCAGGGTGCAGTGATGTGTTAGCAGATTATGAACGGTTACCTCATGTTTTTATTGTCACTGTTGTAAAAATTAAAGTTTTGTAATACTTTATAGACTTTGTGAATTCATAATCATTATACCCTGTACCATAAAAAATTACTAAAAGCCAGGTGTGGGCAAAAATACTAATACTTTGAATGCTGTAGGCATTCAAACTATTGTTTTCCTGTTTATCTTTCTTCTTCTTCTTCTTCTTCTTCTTCTTCTTCTTCTTCTTCTTCTTCTTCTTCTTCTTGTTTGAATGCTGTTAAGGTCATGAAGATGTCAGGACTAAAATAGCTTTGTGAAAAGGGATTTTATGCAAAGACCTTCATAAACATGTTTTGGATTGACCATAGAACTATTACAACTTTTAAAAAGTCATAAACTGTCCCGGGCTGCACAGTGACGCAGTGGTTAGAGCTGTTGTCTTGTAGCAAGAAGGTCCTGGGTTCGCTATCCGGCCTGGGATCTTTCCGCATGGAGTTTGCATGTTCTCCCTGTGCATGCGTGGGTTCTCTCCGGGTACTCCGGCTTCCTCCCACAGTCTAAAAACATGACTGTTAGGTTGATTGGTCTGTCTAAATTGTCCCTAGGTGTGAGTGTGTGTGCATGATTGTTTGTCCTCTGTGTCTCTGTGTTGCCCTGCGATGGACTGGCACTCTGTCCAGGGTGTTCCCCGCCTGAATGCCCGTTGACCGCTAAAGATAGGCACCAGCCCCCCCCCCCCCCACCGCAAACCAATGTGGACGAAGCGGGTTCAGAGAATGGATGGATGGGTAAACTGTCCCTTTTGAGCAGTGTTCAGTGTTACCCCGTCTTACACTTCTGACGGTTTAAACACTCTGAATGAATCAATGTTGATGCAGCTGATTCTAAAGGCTGTGAGGAATCTACTGGAAATGAAAGACGTTTGTTACTTTTGATACATTTTCCAGGTATCTGCAGGTGAGCTGGAGCGCCTGATGGTGCGTCTGCCCGTTTCTCCCCGTCCTTAACCAGACAGTCGAGAAGAACGGGACTAAGTCTATTTGGAGGAGACAAGCGGACCTGAGCCTTATTGTTTTGAGCTTGTGAGTTGCCTGAAACCACCAGAGCCGACCCAACAGAACCAGCTCTGAATGGTAGGTAGCCGTTAGCTATAGCACTAGATTAGCTGCAGGGTCCAGCCCCACGGCCGTAGAGAGCTGTTATCCAGCATGTTTTAGAGATTTATCTGCTTCAACACACCTGGTTTTAATCAGCAGCAAATAGCTGAGCTGCTGAACAGCTAATCTAACCTGTTAAAGCAGGAAAACCACTGAAATGTGTCATAGCAGCTCTCTAGGCCACCTACCCTGGGCTAAAGTTACTGTCTGCTGCAGAGAAAGTTATAAAAATACCCCATGAGAAAATTATTCTGTAATGTCTTAATTTATACACAGTCACAAACATCCCACTAAAACTGTCCTGATTTCAATACCAGCTTTCTCTTTGGACCATTTGTAGCTGCAACAATCAGTCTGACAGCAGATTACTTGGGGTCATTTAGCCTGAAAGAAACAAATTAGATATAACATCACAGTGTTGTGGGAGGAAGCTTCCAGAGATGAGAAACGTGTGGAGAACGGAGCGAGGATGGAGCTACAGGTGTTTCTGTTAGAAGATCAGGAGGCCCTGAGGTAAAATGGGACATTAGTGTGAGTCTGGGAAGATACTCCTCTCCAGTGGTGGTGGAGTAGCAGTGGGTCAGCCAGGCTGAGATGTGAGAAAAAAACAGAATACAGAGTGCAATATTATTATTTAGATTGTTTTTACCTGGATCAGTTCATAGAGCTTGCACTGTCATTCAGATGGAAGCTGCTCAGAAGCTCTCCACCACACCTGGGTCTGTTCAGAAGTGTAGAAGCTGCTCTGGGTGGAATTCCCATCATGGTCCCAGTGTCGGACACACTGCTGCTGGGAAGCTGTGTGAAATATAAAGAAACAGCAAATATATTTATAGTTGTTTTTTAAGAGCAGCAACGCACGTGTGTAACAATACGCTAAAAATAATTACATAATGGTAAAACTAGAAGGCAAAGAGAGACAGATGGTTAAAAATAACTCACCTAGCCTGGACCGGTGTAGGCTGGTGAAGGACTACATCAGTCTGACTGACTCTGACAGCAGTTTTATTGGGCAGACTTTGCCTGAAAATGTTAAAAAAAAATGACATCACGTTGTTGTGGGACTTTAGTAACTTAGATCATGTACAAAACAAACTGTCTAATTTATGTGCTTTATAGCATTGCTGGAGAGTGATCGGACTACTCTCAGAGCTAACTCATTGTCCAAAATCAGACATGTTCTAATGAGAACCGGACTCAGTACCAATTCAGAACTGGGTCAGGTCTGCTGCAGGAGGATCTCTCCTCAGGAAAGAGAAAGCAAAATAATGATGTTACAGAAATTGTATAAGGACAATCCTAAATACAGATTACACAAGAAGCAATTAAGTGTCATTACATATAGAAATAAGCCTGACCTGAGAGCAAGACTCAAGCTTGCCTGTAAAAACACTTATGCAACCAAAAGTAAACACTCTAAACTTCAGTTATTTAAACAGAACGTAGAAAGCTATAGAAATAGGGTTGACCACCGTAACCGCATCAAACAGTCTAATTCTGAACGGTATAGAAATGTAACTGCTTATGCCGATTCTGTTAAGGAGCATGGAAAACATAGACGACAAAATCTCATGACTGGAAAAAAGTTCATAGACAATGTCATTCAGCTTTTTAGAGAAAAGGTTAAATTTGGCCCTCAATTCGTCTGTTGTGTTTGTCATCGGTTACTTTTAAACATCAAGTTCTTGAATGTAAAACACAGCAGTATGAAATTAGAGGTTCATTCATTTAATCTGTGGCAAAAAAATGCATCACTGACACTTATTTACACAAGTGTGGAGACTCTTCAGATTCCAAATGACATCTAGAGGTTAGCCCTGCATGTAAATTGTGGGTCTGTTTTACTTGTCATCCTAAAATACTCAATGGAAAAGTCCCTGAAGAAAGTGTTGCAAACAATATGCACCTAGATTCTATTCCTGTAGAACTTAGTACGTTGAATCCTCTTGAGCAACATCTAGTGGCACAGCACATTCCGTTTATGAAACTTTTAGCCTTACTAAAGGGGGGGACAAAATGGTGTCCATGGACCTGTGACGTGTGTTCCACCTCATACAGAAACTGTGAGTAACATTCTACCCAGATTAGATGATCAGAATCTAATGATTAAAGTCAAACTGAAGCGAAAGCTGACATACAAGGGTCACTCTGACTATCGGTATGTCAATGCTCTGAAAGTACAGACCTTAAATCTCACAATACTTTTTCAAAGATATACAAGTTAACAGTGCATGGACAAATCCCCTAGAAAAAGAGTCTGAAGACTCTACCTCTGAAACTGACAACGTCACTTTGGAAGAAGACAGCAATAGAGCTGAAATAGAGTGTGAACATCCTGGAAAAGGAGATGGCAGTGGCACAGAGGTAGAGTCTGAAGATCTTGCTAGTGATGATCATTTCAATGATAGACAACAGCATGGGATGTTTTTGGACACATGTATGCAACCAGTAGACATTGCCCAAGAAATACTAGACAACCATTTTAACTGTGTTTTATCAGTAGCACCAGCTGAGGGAAATACTCCAGTCAGATTGCTTACTGATACTTCTAATGAGGCTAAATGCTTTCCAGTTCTGTTTCCCACTGGAACAGGTACATTTCACGATGCAAGAGAGCAAAGGATTACACTTAGCAAATATTTAAACACCTGAATTCTCAATGCTGATGGCAGATTTGGCAAGAACTTGGATTACATCTTTTATGCACACTATTTGTCAGAAGTTAATCAAGTTGTGTCAAATGTTTCCATTGCACTGAGAAAGGGCTACCATGGCTTAGACAACACCAACATTACATGATCCATGCTGGGCAACACAGACTTTTTGAAGAATGTTTTCAATGCTGACATGGGCCATAACTTTTTGAAGCCCAATAGTGGTACACCAGTATTTTGGCAGGGAGTTCAAAAATATCTGTTTGCTTATGTTAGACAACTTGGCATTCCTATATGGTTTGCTTCCTTTTCTTCAGCAGATTTAAGATGGCCAGAATTTATGGAAGCTTTTATAGCTATAGAAAACATTCAAGGCAATATTCATGACGTGGATTGGCCACAGAAATGTGACTTATTAAAAACAATTGAGTGACAGCAGCCAGAATTAGATAGATTTAGATCTTTTTTAAAATATATCATATCTCCTGCTCAGTCAATTGGTATCGTGTTTTATAAAAATCAGGTAGTGGTGCTTAGATAAAGTAAACGGTCATAATCCAAGCCCTTTTTCATGGGACTGCATCATCGGAGAGGGGAGAACAGGCAGCAGAAGGCGACAACGTCCTCTGCTGCCAGAGGATTAACGGAGTGGGACGTGATGCCACCATCAGCATCAGCTCTGAGGATGTTTGCGGCTGCAAACGAAACCTCAGCAAGGTAAAGAAAAAACCTTATGTGTTTAAAAAAAGAACCAAAAATGGAAGATTGTTTTTTAATCAGTTTTCTAGAAGTGTCTTAACTTGCTACCTGTGGTGGTTTAGATCTTTGCCATTGCTGGTGAGGTCTCGATTAATACTACTACTACTACTACTACTACTACTACTACTAATACTACTACTACTACTACTACTACTACTACTACTACTACTACTACTACTATATTACTTAAACATGTAAAAGACATAGCTAAAAATAGATATCAGTAGTTTAATTTGAGTCCTATTTGGGCACAGAAGTATTTGTCATTGTTATTTTGCAGGTCAGATGCTGAAAGGCTTGACAACCTCTGATCTATGCAGACATTTTGAAATGTCACAGGAAGGATGCAATAAATTGCATTAACCATTACACCATCATTGACAGAAACTTTAACATTGATTTAGTGTGTGGAATGGCAATAGCTTCCCCTAGAGAAAATTATTCATTAACAAACCACATTTCGAGCCATATGTGAAAACAAGCATCCATTCTCTTTTGTTAGCTGTTCATGGAGCTGATGCCTTTTTTGGGGGGATTTTACGGCAAGAGGCAGGTACAACTCTTCTAACTGTGGGAGAATGTCAAAGTAACTCTACAATAACAAGGATGTCTCTTAAGCAGAACTCTAAACCTTCTCAACATTATAAAATTGTTAAATATCTGGTGGAGCACTCCAGTCTTTACGGTTTCTGATATTATATGTTTTTATTGCATACAGTCTGATAGTGCACTACTTTCATATTTACAATTTTACCCTGCTTCACATGCCATTTCTTTCTGTCTGTGTCCATCTTTTTTTCATTTTCAGCTCACCTGCCCCTGCAAAAACAGCCTGACTGTCTTTGTGGTTTTTCTTCACTATTCTGAAAACAGCACTACTTCTTGCAGCAAAGACAGTTTAGAAGTGGTCTGTAACAGTTGAGGCATGGGTCATTTATTGTAAAAGACATAGTAAAGTGAAATACCAGAAGTTATTTTGTTCATCTAGACACAACTTCAGACTGTGACTCATGGCTGGGGCTCTTTATGGCTTATAGGAAGTGGAGGTGGTTGACTAGCTGGTGACTTTTTTTGCCTTGTCACAACTCAGCAGTCTGTTCCAAACTCACCATTTAAATGGCTGTAAAAAAATAATCGTGGCTTTGTGACAATTAGGTGTGGGAATTAAAGAGATAAAAGGGAACATAGTCAAGGCAGAAACAATACATTTGACAACTGTGCGCATTTCATTAGTGTACATTAACCAAAGAGTTGGTGATGAAACTGAGATAAAACTGCTTGTTACAGAGTCATGCTTTAGACAGTTAAAACACAAGACTTTAGATTCCAGCATTCATTTATTTACTGAATAAATGTATAATTTACCTCAACATGATCACATTTGGGCAGAAAAAGTGCAACATAGTAATTTTTTGTCTGTAAATAATTTATAATCACTGGCTGGAATGGAGTCTGGGTGCTTCTAGTAATTCCAAAACTCTTTTTCCTGCCAGGTTTTTATTCATTAACATCTAAAACAACATAGTAAAAGTGCTTGAATGTAAGAAGTTACAACTCTTGTGGACTTTGAGCACACAGAACAAGAAAACAGCAGAAGATAATGAGGTAGCACACGGACTACCTGAGGGGGTATGTGTCCTTCTCATTCACTCTTTGTAGGTTAGACATCCAGCCCGTCGCACTGGGTGATATCCCCAACAGCGGTGTCTCATCAGTGTCATTTCTATATCCCTTCTGAATATTCATTGGACTAAAGTAGCATTTATCGTTCCTGTGTTCAAAGAGATTAAAGGTGTGGATTACTCATTTAATCAACACATTTCCAGTGGTTTTTAGTAGGAATAAATGCCTTGCAGGCAGTACTCAGGGCACAAAACAGCCCACAAAGCCCAATCCCAGCAGGTACAAGTCTACAACGACACAGGAGAGCTTAGCACAGCAGGTTTGGAGTTTTATTTCCTGATATTTGGACATCTTTTCCTGGATTAGATAACAGCGAAGTGACTCTACCACTGACTTGCAACAAATAACACAAGCCTGGAGCAGCTTCTGCCGTGTGGTAAAGTGAGCTTCTAGCCGAGACATCCTCTGCTGATTCCCAGACATTAAAACAACATCAACCTTCCCCGTTGCGAGTTAAGATGGGCAAATTCATGAATACTAACTCACAATTTGATGAAGAGCTGTGAGGATTTTCAAATCCTAGATTTTCACCATCTATTATTTATCAGAAACTAATGCAGGACATAGATGAAAAGACTATTTTTGTGTTCAACCTGCATGAAAACTTAGTGACAGATTATAATGAGTAATAATCATTAAAGTATTGTTTTTGAGTAAACGACACCTTTAAAAACATCTTCATGTTTAAAATATATAGAAAAATACATTTCCAGTCAGAATTTGCTCCAAACTGGAGCTCTATCATATGAGATATACGCTGCTGCACATCAGTCGCAAAAATAAAATATAACACATAAAGCAAATTCCTAGATGACTCAGGAATCTTTACAAGTATAAAATTCAGAATAAGTGTTTTTTAACAGGTTTGTATGTGTTAATATATTACCGGATGGTTTACTTTTTGACTCATGTGACCAATACCAGGAAATAAAAGAACCTATCAGAAGGGCACATGTCATGTTGTGGATTAGATAAGTGGTCTCTACACATGACACGGAAACGTTCTTTATCTTTTTTCAGAGGGTTGAGAAATGTCAGATGTTGTCATAAAGGATATCCACCAGAAATCATGTGGCTTAAATATAAATTACAATGTCCAGGAGCGATTCTGGTTTCTCTAGCCAAAGTATCCATGAAAGAACACAGCCACACACAAGAGAATGATGGCGTTGGCGTTGACAATGTTTCTCCAGAGAGGCACTTCTGTTGTATCTGTGAGCTGCTTCTTCAGCTCCTCTTCCTCCTCTGGAGTCAATTTTGGGGCTTTTTTCTGCTCCAGTCCACAGAAACACATGGCTGCTTTCTTGCAGAAGCCTGGTTCTTCCTCAGGTTCTGTAGCACAGACAAGATGTTATATTTCAAATTTGAAGAAGAAAAACAGTAAATCTAAGTGGGATGGAATGAAAACAAGCTCATTTCAGGTCTGCCAATTACCTTCTATTTCCATGTCATCACTGTCATCTTTAACCCAGTCATCTGGTTCGATGTCTATTCTTTCCTCCGTACGGTTTCTCAGACTCCAGCACAGTCGAAACAGCTAAAGAAACAACACCTATCAGTTTGTGCAAATGTTTATTCTGTTAAAGTTAGCATCTCAAAACTGTCTTCTACTGTTTTAGGGCCCACTGTCTTAGATTTGACATTGCATTTTGCCTCATCAGTCAGATTTAACCGCTCATCTAATTTAACCTGTCCGAGTTTGAAAGAAGCAGGATTTTCTTTGTGTTGTGATCAGGTTAGCTTTTAGATTAAACGGCACCAGTTTACTTCTAAAGTATTTTCATGAAAACAGGTGTAAAACCTGATCAAACCACACTGAGCTACCTTTTGGGGGCAAAATTGCAACGTGGCAGGACACAAGCTGTCTGGAATATTAACTGACAGGTTTGTGTCTTTTTCCGCTTCAACAATCAGCAAAAACCTGAAGAACTGAATGTTCACTTTCCACGGAATAAGGTTGCTATGGGAGTGTCTTTCAGTCAGTGATAACTGATTTGGGAAGTTAACAATTAATCTGGCCTTATCCAACAGCTGTCACGTACATGCTTGTCATCGATGGGTTTGGTCATTAGAGAAACTCCGAGTATGATGATGCAGGAGACGACAAACAGGATAATCCCAAAGTAGAGGTAGTGGACTCCACAGATGATGGTGGGACAGTTACTGGGTGTAACACAGCTGCCCGTCCCATAAATAAACTCTGTAATCATCCTGGACAGTCCTATTAACAAGCCAATGGTGAGTCCATAGAAGGCCCCCTGAATAAGAGAAAAAGCAAAGAGAGATAAAGAGGTTTAGAAACTTACCAGCTGCAAGGCGTTAGATAAAACAACATAAAAGGTTTCAAGTAAGTAATGTTGGTAATAAAGATCCACTTGTTTGGTGGATTGTTCATTGGAACAAAGGAAATGCAACTCTTGTGGCAACTCTTAAAACACTCTCAGCTTTAGTTTAAGAGAGTTTAAGAGAGTAAGATATGCCTGCTTCTTTTGCTATGATCAAATAAAAGGTCCTTCATGAAATAGTGCTTCGTCATTATTATACACAAAGCAAATCACCTAGAGTTGTTGGCCCACATTAATCCCTTTGGATAAATATGTGTGCTTTGAATGTATTTAAAGATCTTCAAGCAGAGTAAATCGGAGTCATTAAATTCAAATCAAATCGTCTCGTCTTCTTCCGCCTATCCAGGTCCGGGTCGTGGGGGCAGCATCCCAACTAGGGAGCTCCAGACCGTCCTCTCCCCGGCCACCTCCACCAGCTCCTCCGGCAGGACCCCAAGGCGTTCCCGGTCCAGTTCAGATATGTGCTTTCTCCAACGTGTCCTGGGTCGACCAGGGGGCCTCCTGCCGGCAGGACATGCCTGGAACACCTCCCTGAGGAGGCGTCCAGAAGTCACTGCAGACGCTGCCACAATCCGCCTGTCGATCTCGCGCTCCCTCCTTCCCTCCCTCGTGAACAAGACCCCAAGATTAAATCATCCCATTAAATCAGTCAGTGAAAAAGCCAAAATAAAAACTTTCAAAAACTTGATAAAAGTATAATTCAAGACTACTTTAAAAGATTAAATAGCAAATCTAGCTTTTTGAAAGTAAAATCAATGTAAATCCCTGACATGAGAGGCAGATTATGCCACTTCAAAAGTGACACCTGGGTAAAGTTTTAAACCAGTAACATGTTAAAAAAAACATCTTAAAACAACAATGTAAATTACAACTCACAGACTCATTGACACGTTTGCAAAAGATGGCAAGCATGAAGACGGCCGCAACAGGTGGCGTGAGATAGCTGGTGATTGACTGGATGTAGTCGAAGAGCTGGCCACTCTGAGCCGTCTGCACCACAGGGATCCACGCTATGCTCACACCAATCAGGGCCAAGATGAACACTCTGTGTAGGTAAAAGAAAGTAGGAATCAAGAATTTAATCACTAATCCTAGTCAATACAAGCCCACACCTGTGTTTTACCTGCCAGCAATCATGAGTTCCTTTTCTCTGGCGTGAGGACGGATCTTAGTGTAGATGTCCATGGTGAAGAGAGTACTAGCACTGTTAAAAATGGAGGTCAAGGAGCTCATGAGAGACGCCAACATCACAGACAGCATCAGACCTCTCAGACCTAAAACAGCGAATGTTAGTTAGACATGGAGAAATGAGAAAGAGACACAAAGACATTTAAGACAATGTTCTCAGTCCACCCACCATTAGGCATTAGGTCCACCACCAGCTTGGGATAAGCAATGTTGGTGCATCCCACACTAGTACCACAGTGCATTTTACACTCCTCTGGGTCCACACAGGCCACCACGTCTGGAATGAGTTGAACAAAAATGTCAGTGTCGGAAGGATGAGGCAGTAAAAGATGTGTTAAACCCAGACCACGCTGTGTGTTTTTCAGCTGTTGCAAAGGACTGCTTATGTCACACAGTGAGGACTCCAGAAAGGTGGCACACTTTACAGTCCAAGATTTCAGTGAGCCAAACTGCACCACGCCTCCCTCTAGCAGATTGTGCTAATGTCGCGAGTGCACTCCACAAAAAGCATATATCACAAAAATCTGACAGCTAACTAAAACAACATGCTGATAAGAGAAAAAGACGCTACTGACACTTATTATTATTATTAGACCCAAAATGAGTTGTCCACAATTGCTCCTGCATGTAGCTTCCACTGTTGCTAATTTGGCTAATTCTACACTCACATTGTACTCTTGTCACTAGCTGTTGGCGTGACTTCCTGGGTGTATTTTCATTGATCGATTGAAGACAGGAGTCATAGGCTGAAGGCTGACTTTGGTCGTGAGAGTGCACAATAAGCTGTTGGAGAGCCCGTCACGCTGGGTGGCCATAGATTTGCAAATGACCTTCACGTTCACCGGTTTTTGACATGATTCTGTTCAGGACAAGAGATTTGACTAGGACGGCCAAAAAACGCACAGTGTGGTCTGGGCTTAATGGTTAAAATGAGAATCTTAAAGCACAACACACACCAGGATAGAGGATCCTGCTTATCATCCCAGGAAACACCATGAGAAACATGGGAAACAGCTTCAGGTAGCCACATAAGATACAGCCTCCTTTAACATGAGAGAGATTCTTGGCCGAGAGGCAACGCTGGACAATCACCTACAGAAAAACAGCCATGAACCGGTGAAAAATGGTGAATTCTTAACTAAAGTGAGAAACTGACAAAGTTACAACAGTGGTGATAACATGTTGTCTGTTTTTGTATCAGAACAGCTTTAATGTTATTCCTGATTTAAAAATGAGACAATACATTTCTATGATTTCTTTGGTAACAATATCTTGGGTGAGCAATGGAAGACAAACAAAGCTTGGTTAAAACCTTGTCTACTGATTTAAATACCAAACGTAGAGCTTGTGAAACAGGATTAAATCTGCAGTTTTTTCTGAGTACTGTATGTTGAGGAAATGTGTTAATTATTTAATTTACAATCTTATTAACTCAATTATTATTAGAAGTTTCATCATTAATATGTAAGATCTAGTGTGAAGCCAAATGGTAGAATTAAAAGCTTGTTTAAGAAACAAACGCAAACAGAATATTAGACCCACATGTAATGTTCCAGCATTTAAGTAAGTTAAGTTGCTCGCTAAAGGAGAGGTATTGTACAGCTCCTTAATTGTTTTGTGGTGGAGGGTGTAATGGTGTGTTGAACTTGTTTACAGCTGCCTATGTGTCTATATGTGTGTGTTTAGAACACGATTACGGGGTGTCGTAAAGCAAAAGGAAGTCTGTCTCAGCTAAAAGAAGATTTATAAGCAGCAACTGGTAAGCAGGGTTTTCTGCAACCAAATGGTCCTGTTTTTGAAATGTTCAAGTGTTGCTAAAAGCGTGGTTGTGCTATTCCGTGGGGACGGTCCCCTCGGATGATTGTGTCACTGTGTTTTAGAAATAAAAGGCTGCACTGAGGAGGAGAAGTCAGAGATCTTATGCTGGGATCCACCTCTGTACAACACCTCCCCTCATGAGCCAAACTTCATTCTTGTGTCTGCCTGGATTTGTCACTTTTATCCTTTAAGCTTTCTAACACAGTATCTCACAGGTGTTTGACTTTTGGCAGCTAATCATGTAAATTATTTACTAAAGAGATTTTAAAATATCACTAAATGTTCACAAAGGTAACAGGGGCCTTGCTCTCCTTTGATGTTTTTAACTTGTTTAAAGGTATGGAACGCTTGTTTAATCAATACTTTTGCAGTGGTCTTTGGTAGAAACGAATGCCATGTAAGTCGTACTCGGGAGGGGTGCTCTGCTGCACCATTTTCAGTAATTAGAAATGAGCCACATTAGAGCCGAGCTGCAGACGGCAGGAGTTGAAGTCTTGTTTCCTAATATTTGGACATCTCGCCTCGGATTGGATAACAGCAACTCGACTCTACTGACTGAGTTGTTTTGCAAGGTTGATGTTTTATCTCCACAAATAACACAAGCTTGGAACAAGCTTGCGACAGATTAGTGACAAGCACCCGGTGTGTCACTGTGGGCTCCCGCAGGCCCCTGCCCTTCACACCACCACAGTTTTGGAAAATTTGTATAGTTCCTTCTTAGGGTTCAACAACCCCCCAAGGCGCTTCACAACACAATCAGTTGTCCACCCATTCACATGCACATTCACCTGCTGGCCGTGAAACTCAGAGTGATCGACTATAATAGAAATAATAATCAAAAAATGTTTTTTTTCAGTGATCCACACCTTTAATGAATTACACATCTGAAAAGTAGCTCTAATTGTACCTCCTCACGTTTTGTGTACCACTGACTGATTCACATTGTTCCTATTCTTTTTCTGCTCTTTTAGTTATTAGTTAACATATTTTTTTATGTTTAAACTTTTTATAATCAGTATATTTTATTCTTGTACTATGAAAATGAAAGAGGAACAGTATTTCTTTTGTTCATACATTCTGACAAAAAAGGCTATTTGATTTAATTTAACATTTCCTCAACAAACTCCCTTTGAAAGTAGACAAAGTTGACATAAGTGTGTTAAAACATTTTTTAAACTCTCTTTAGTTGTTCCTCCTCTGAAAGTGCAAGAATGTGCTCATGAAGGACTGGTGAAAAAATGGGGAGTAAAACAAGGGAGTGAACAAACTGAAACCTAGTTTAGATTATTTGTGACAAATATGCAAAATAAATCTACTGTTGCAATTATACCAATTGACCCATATGACTCATAATTCATATAAACTTTTTGCAAAAACATTGTACACATTAATTCCATGTGATTTAGCATGAAAATGTTCACATTTTCCCAAAATGTTGTTTCTCCATAGTTGCCAAGAGTCACAGCCCAGTCTCAGCAGTCAGGAACATTTTACCTCACACTGACTGAACGTCTGTCTACTGCAGGTAAGATACTAACTTGTCAGAAGTACTGCATACAGAAATGTGGGACTGTGAAAACTGAACATGCATAATCATCAACACACCTTAACTTGTAACTTAAACCTTACTTTGACTTGACTTTACCCTCTTGTTGATCTACACACAATCATAAAAGAATGTCTTATAATAAAGAATTGGCTGTGTCACACTATCAGCTGACTACATTGGACCACCTCAATGAGCCGAGCCAAAACAGGCCAGATAAAGAAGCATGAATGCACTTGCGGTTACATAAAAATCAATGGGATGACTTTACGACTACAGATTGTTTCTGGTAAACAATAAAAGGAGTTGATGGAGGTGAATTGTCTTAAGCTTCACTGACCTGATCCGTGCACCAGTACCAGGTGGCCTGAATAGTAAGTCCAAACACCAAGCCAGGCCATGGCAAGTCCCCTGTTATAGCATCCCTGAAAATATGGAAGGAGTCGGCCCGAGGCTCGTAGCACTTTGAGCTGATGTTGCCAACGATGCTCGGGACTGCAGCCATGTAGAGCCTCTGGAAGTTCTCATAGCCCCCCACTTCAGTAAAAGCTGAAGATAGATGTAAGTTACACTGACTTATATATTCACTTCCCAATAATGAGGCATCACTTTATCATTAAATGAAAAAAAAACATTCAACTGTCATTTTTACCAAATCCCATCAGAATGAAGGAGCCGATAACCATGATGATGGTCTGTAAGGTGTCTGTGTAAATCACTGCAGCCAGTCCACCTGAAATACAACACATCTGTGAATATGTCATTCAAAATATTTGTAGTAACTTGTTTACTAGAGAAAATAATATGATTGTGCTTTTATGTAACTGTTCTGTCTCTGCTTGTCTTATAAAGATTCCACTCAGGTGTTTATGCATTATTGCAGGGCAGCAACAGAGGGCCATTTGAAGCTTATCATAGTCCACGGACGATTAACTACAAACCACACATAAATCACAGATAAACAGGGACTGTGTGTGTGTGTGTGTGTGTGTGTGTGTGTGTGTGTGTGTGTGTGTGTGTGTGTGTGTGTGTGTGTGTGTGTGTGTGTGTGTGTGTGTGTGTGTGTGTGTGTCTACGGTACAAATGGCCTTGAGAGACTACCCTCTACCGTGCATGGTGCCATTCATGCTGATAAGACTTTTTTTCTGGCTTTAGTTTATGATGAGAATTTAAAAGGAAGTGAATCCACCCCTAGGACAGACCTGTGACTGTGTACAGTGCTGTGATCGCCAGTAGGGCAATAACAGCAACGTAGATATTAAGCCCTAGAGCCTGGTTGATAAAGATGGCACCGGAGAACATGTCTGCCTGGGAGGAGATGGAGAACTTCAATTAGCCACATGGGTCATTTAAACAGGAGGGTTTTCTACAGCTGGCACAGAGACTTACAGAGATCTTGGTAAAAACGTAGAGGAAGAGGGAAAGCACAGAGAGATAGATGCGAATACGCTGTCCTCCAAACCTCTTCTTGAGGTACTCGGGCATAGTGATCACCTAGACACATCCACTCAAAAGATTTAGCTTTCAAGGCTCAAATGGAACAATGGTTGCACACTTGAATGAAGAGATGTGAGTGTAAATGTGACCTGAGTGTGTTGTTTACCCCAGCTTTAATGTAGATTGGCACAAAGAGCCACCCAAGGATAACAACAACAATAAGAGCCTGAAACAGACAAAAATACAAGAATACAGGCTTTTTTTCTCAACTTCACCCAACAAGCATCAATGGTAACCAATAAGCGATGGGCTCAGCTGGCAGGTAACTCAGACATTTGTGGTGCAGTTACTCACATTCCATTCAAATCCACCAGTAGCTATTCCAGCTGCTGCAGCAGTTCCAGCAATCCCAACAAAGTGACCGCTGCCAATGTTGCTGGCAAAGAGGGATGCGCCGATCTGTATGAAGGCGTTACATATTTTTATTGGATGGCCAGAGAGTAAATTACTGGCATGAAGCAATTTCTGAGCTTTTTTCCATTTCAATTCCTACTCATCATAACAGACTAACACGAGTAACCTTGTTCTTTCTAGGTGCTAAACGTACACGGGCACACACACAGATGAACAACAGCACAGTTTTTCACAATCTTATGGAAGAAATTACACTGATTACGGTTATCAAAAGTTTAGATTTCCTCTTTGGTCTCATCTGTTCATCATAGGAGTAGCTTTTGTTCATTCACAGCTGCGCAAATTGAAGTCATGTTGCTCTGGTTTTTAGAGACAGAAAGGCTTTTTCAAAGCTTCCTAAAATAACTCCTAACAAACCAAACTAGAGCAGTCAACATTTCTGTGGTAAAGCTTAGCCTCTAACATGCTAGCTGAAGCCTTTTAGACTACAACAGTGTCCAGTCCTGGTCCTCGAGGGCCACTACCCTGCATGTTTTAGATGTTTCCATGCTCCAACTCTCTTAATTCATTTAAATCATTTGTTCAGCAGATTTTCACACATTCATTCAAAAAAAGTTTGCTGAATCAGAGAAACATCTAAAACATGCAGAATGGTGGCACACACAGACTAGGATTGTAGATCGTGTTTCCGTTGGAACTGCTGGAGTTTTTAGATTCATTCTCAAAACACTTCACAACTTGAGCTTGTTGGTTGTTCACTTTTTGAAGACTGGCAACTAATTTGAATGACTTTCATTTTTAACGTTTTTTACATGGGAAATGAAATCTACTGTTTAGAAATCACCCTACACTCAGAGAAAAGATATACCTTTAGGTGTAAAAACAACGGAGTGGTACTTTCAAAGTTGCTGTTCTAAATGTGGGATCAATAAACTTGTTTTGTTTCACTAACGGGACCTTTAAAAGGCACAGAGATTTAGACCAGAATGTCCTATAATTGCTATAGATTGGTTGTTCCAGTCAGTCATTTAATTTGTTGTGTTCACAACACCTGACACAATGGAGAAGCCACCTTAGCCAGCAGACATGACAGAGAACTGGACTCTTAATCTTTAGGTCCCAACATCTACCGACCTTTCACCATGTTGAAACATAAACGATAAATGGCCTGTAGTTGATATAGCACCTTCCAGAGTCCTGGAACCTCCCAAGGCACTTTACAACCCAATCAGTCCTTCACCCATTCACACACTCACACCCTGGTAGTGATAAGCTTCATTGTAGCCACAGCTGCCCTGGGGCTCACTGGCAGAGACGAGTCTGCCGTACACAGGCGTCACCATTCCCTCCAACCACCACAAGCAGGCAAGATGGGTTAAAGTGAGACTGGGCAGGGCTCGAACCTGCAACCTTCCGATTACAAGGCGAGCCCTTAACTCCGGTGCCACCATCATCTTTGAAGCCATCAAATACAAACTCATAGTTATCTTGATATCCAAAATCCAACTGGAGAGGATACATTGTACCCCAATTCGTACCCTGGAGGACAAAACTTCTATAGCATTAGTCTCTCGAGACTGTTGTCCAGTTGTAAGTGCTTCTATATCATCAGCGATGAGTCGTTTCCTGTTTGCCGTGTGTTAACACACAAACTTTTGTTTGCATTGACATTAATTGATTATTTTTGTGGATTTAACAACTATTACAGTGCGTCTTCATGAATTGGATGCTGTGAGGATGAATTCAGTTTCATAACATCCTGCTTCAGCATTTTGCTTCTTGCTAAATCCATTTCATAATGTGTTGTATTTTTAGATCTGGTTACAAACCAAGTGACTTGTTCTGAAAAAGCATGGGTGTCGTTTACCATAATGGTTTATCTCTGTAGTAATGACAGAGAACAATCTCGGTGAGAGTGAATGATTTCTTATCTTGAGAGTGAGACACTCACCGGCCACCACACCATACTCCTCCCGGCTAGGAAGAACCCTCCCACAGTGGATCGATTGGTTCGGACCATCGCCTACAACATGACAAAATCCATCAATCTGTGCTAAGCACGTTGGACTCAAATTACAGCATCAAATTCACCAATATTTTTACTTTTATTTATGATAAAATGTTTTAGTTTAACTAAATGTGAAATGGAAATATTTGTTATCATGTGGTTGATTAAAATACTATGCAGAATGTTCATAACCTTTTGTCTTTGTTACATAAAAAACTATTGAGAAAAGAAAATGTAACATCTGAAAATAGTCATACTTTATCTTTGCCTGTAAAGAAAATAATTCTGTTAGCTATTCTTGAAGAAAACGACTCATAGAGCCATAACACTGTAAAATGATCAACAAAAATGGTTTATTGTAAGTCAGATAACTCACCCCTACACCCACGGCCAAGACGACCACAAAATAAATCACAATAACAGAGATGTCTGCTGCATTGTTGACCACATTGGTGCTGATGCCATTTTTTGCACTACTTGTGATGTAGGAGAATCCAAAATAATCCCGAGACATTTTGCTGGTTGGAAGAGTGACAGGACAGGAAAGAGTCGGTGTACTTCGACTGGAGCGTTTGCCCAACACTTACCTTTTATACCGTGTGTGTTTGTGTGTTAGAAAGAGGGCGGGTCAAGAGTAGGGATGATGCAAAGAGAAGCCTTGCTTGTAGATACATTTTCTCATGAACATCAGGTAAAATTTGTCAGCTTTCAGTAAATCGTGGTTAATTATCAGCTTACAAGGAAATTCCATAAGTAAAGCTACTGTTGTTTCATTAACTGCTCAGCTTTCTTTTTCCTTTTCCTCTTTAGCTCAGCCAGAGTTCACAGCTCAGGTTATTGCAGAATATTGAGTTTTTAACACAACACAGCATCACATCACATTAAAGCACAATTCTGCCTCAACTCAGTCCAATTTGAACAAAGCACCTTTAGTTTGCCATTAAAAACTGTTGATTTTATAAATTAGCCAGTGACATATGGGTAGATAAAATATTGCCTTCTACTGAAAAGGTTGGAGGAAATGCAGACACCAAATGCAGTGCTACATTTCACTGATTGGACTAGTTTCAGGACCTTAAAAGTTTGGAATCCAGAAATTTGATTGTGTAAGTTTACACAACACAAAGACTTCAGATAGTAAGTGTAATGTCACATCGGATGAGAAACACATTTAAAAACAAAAATTACAACTTTTATACATTCATTTTCTGTACCCGCTGATCCATGCAGGGTCGCGGGGGCGGGCTGGTGCCTATCTCAGCCGTTTTTGGGCAAACAGGCGGGGTTCACCCTGGACAGACTGCCAGTCCATCGCAGGGCAGCATAGAGACACACAGAAAAAACAACAAGCACACACACTCACACCTAAAGAAAATTCAGAGACTAATTAACCGAAATTCATGTTTTTGGAATGTGGGAGGAAGCCGTGGTACCCAGAGAGAACCCATGCATGCACAGACCCCAGGCTGGGATGTGAACCCAGGACCGTCTTGCTGCAAGGCAACAGCACTAACCATCGCACCACTGTGCAGCAAAAAGTCACAACTAAAATGTAATTAATACGTTTATAATCCTAATTATTTTTTATGTAAACACGCCAATCCCAAAAGATGAGGAATTTACTTGGAAGTTTATAAAACAATCAAATGACCCTTGACCGAACCTTTACCCTAATACAGTGAACGTAACACATTCTTGATAAACGTGTTTTTATCTGTTTGTTAATAATTAGCTTTTGAACTGATGATTGAGATCTGGCAAAGACAAAGAAAAGCGATTCACTTTCAGCATTTAATTCATGTCCTTTGTTGTATAATTACATAACGAGGACACTGAGTATATCTAACACAAAAGTGTTGTCTATTTGCCCAAGGGACTGAGGATAAAAATTAGCCCATGCTATAATCTTGCAAATGTTGCACCCTGAAAACACCCTGGAAATATTTGTAGTTATTCTAGTAATACTGCATTACATTTTATCTTTTGTTTGTACATTTAAATCTTCCGATGAAGTTCAATTATTCAAAACAATTGTAGTTATTTTTGTTCAGGCACAGAAGTGACTAGAAAAGGTGATGCTACGTCATGAAGAGGTCCTGTGTGGCCAGTGTGTAAAGGTGTTAGTTCGTGGTTCGTGCCCACTGCTCCAGAGAGAACAAGCCAAAAATAATAATAATAATCAATGCAGCGTGGGGCAAATAAAGTTGCCAAACAGAAAACGGAGTCCTGTCTGTTTTGGGAGTGCAACATAAATTTGGTGTTCCTGCCCGGTTGGATTGTTTTCTCATCGCGGAGCAAGTGGAGACAAAACATGAGTGACGCCATTGTTAACCCTCTGGTAGCCTGAAATGCTAATACGCCAAGCAAGACAAGTAGATCACAAAAGGAATAACACTTTACAAGATGCCCGGCGATAAGCATATGTCCCCTGCTTGGGAAAGTGTATTTGGGGAGATAGAGGAAAAGTTACTGACGCTGTCCGAACCGGGCCTAAATGACGTCCGTGCGACATTTGATATTCCAGTCAGTGAGAGTGGAAAAGACTTACCTCGAAAATTGAGAAGATTGGTCCTGCAGTTTGTGGAAAGTGAAGAAGTTACCTCGTTAGAGGATGAAGGTATGTCCTTCTTACTAACATTAAGTGACAAAATAGATGAAATAAAAGGAAAAAACGAAAGCAGTGATGAAACTAAGCCACCACTAATGGAACTGCCCCCTCCACTGGCAAGTGGTACTGCAGCTAAAGACTTCGGCAGGAAAAATGACAGCCCTCAGGTTTCAACAGTGTCAGAACACGTCACCATGTCTGCAACAAACCCCAGCCTATTTCACCGGCTTTACAGAAGAGAACTTAAAATAATAGGACAGATTGGGGAACCAAACCAAAAAGATTAATTAGGATATGCTAGTTTGGAAAGACAAATACAAAAAGCTCTGAAAAGAGGATATGATGAAGGTGAAATTGTGGAGGCTGTCATCCAAGCCATAATCGCTGGAATAAAACTAAAAAGTTACCTGGAAAGCAGAGTTGACTTGACATTACAAGCTCTCAGGCAGATCCAGCGGACTCATTTTATCGAGAAAGATGCCACAGAGCTGTATCATTCTCTCACCTGTGCAGTTCAAGAAACAAAAGAAACCCCTGTCCAGTTTTTGGTGCGAGCAATTGACTTGTGACAACAGGTCCTGTTTGCTTCAGAAAGAGTTGCTGATACAAAACCAGTTTCTGCAAACAGTGATGACTGGCCTCCAGGATGATACTATCAAAGCAGACTTCAAAACCCACCTCCAGAGCCCAAATGTTAAAGATGAAGATCTTCTAGAAAAAATGACCGCGGCTTATACTTTGGAAATGGAAAGGAAAAACAAACTGCCAACGGAAAACAAAGGACAATTAAGGTTGCGACTATAAACAATGCTCCCCAACAGCAATCAAGCACAGAAATGGGGAAGCGGGACACGCTTATGGAGAAAATGGATGAGGGTAACAAAGCTATATGTGAAGCCATCCAATTTCTTTCCACACAGATAGCAAGTTTGAACTCAAACTCTCGACAGCAGTCAACCAGGGTGAGCGAGCAACCAACATGGAAATATCCACCATGACAGAGACCGGCTGATAAAAGATGTAAACAATGTTGGAGATCCAACCAAGAGGGAAAATGTAATCACTGTTCCAAATGTGGAAGCACAGAACACTGGGCAGCTGGTTGCCGAACCAAAAATGCATCAGCTACTATAAACAAGATTGAAACTCAGCTACATCCTGGACAAGAGGTAGGACACATGGCCCCTGCTCACCTGAATAGGTGTCTCAATGTAAAACAGGAGAGAACAGCTGAAATTGTTGGCAGAAGGTGCCTAGTTCAAGGATGTTTGGGCAGTGTTGATACCACCGTGTTGTAGGACACAGGGTCACAGGTGTCAATTGTGGGAACGGACTGGAAAAGAAAACACCTCCCAGATGTAGAAGTTAGATCAGTGGAAGAGCTGTTTGAGGAAGGAGCACTGGACCTATCTGCTGCAAATGGAACGGAGATCCCACACGAAGGATGGATAGGAGTCAACTTTGCTTTGTCCCAAAAAGATTAATCTGAAATGGCTGACAAACCAGTCCTGGTCCCGATTCTGGTTACAAGCAGTGCCTTAAAACACCCCATCATTGGGTTTAATGTAATTGAAGAAATGGATCTGAGAAAGGGTGGAAATCAGATCCCCGCCACACTCATGGTGCAAAGTCTGTGTTCTGCACTAGAGGTGGGACGCAAAACTGCAAGAGCAGTCCTTTCAGTCTTAAAAGGCCAAAGGCCAGAAAACTCCCCCTACATAGCCAGACTGGGCAGACGAGCAGCAGTTGTCATCCCACAACGTGGAGTGATGGAAATGGAATGTAGCCACCTAAAGAAAGAAGCTTCACGTGGGGCACTGCTGGTGTTGGAACCAAACTCAGAGACACCATGGCCTGTAGGACTAACCATCAGAGAACAGCTAATCCAGGTCTCATCTCAGGAAAACGGTAAGATTTCTGTCACTGTTGAAAATTTAACAGACCATGAGATTAACCTGTGTGGTCGGACAATACTTGGCTGGTTGTATAACGTGGATTCAGTTTCTCCACTAGAAACTACGTGTGCAGTGTCAGAAATCATTGCCAGCAGACAGTGACGTCGCTGACCGAAGAGACCAGCTCAACCTTCCTGCACTGACAGAGTCATGGGACCCTCCAGTGGACCTGAGTCACCTGTCAGAAGATCAACAACAGCAGGTAAAACATATGCTCAGAGAGGAGTGTGATGTTTTTGCAAGAGATGACTGGGACACATGAACAATTCAAGATCTGGAGATGGACATTCATCCTAAAGATAATGTGTCAGTGCAGAAAACATACAATGCAATCCCGAGACACCTTTATCAGGAGGTGAAAACACACATACAGGATTTACTTAACAAAGGCTGGATCCAGAAGTCCCATTCCTCATACTCTTCACCAGTGGTTTGTGTGAGGAAGAAGGATGGAAGTCTTTGTTTGTGTGTAGACTACAGACTATTGAACCTTAAAACAATACCAGACCATCATCCAATTCCTCAAATACAGGAGATCCTGGAAAACTTGGGAGGCAACTCCTGGTTCACCGTGTTGGACCAGGGAAAGGCTTACCACCAAGGGTTTGTAAGCAAGAAAAGCAGACCATGTACAGCTTTAATAACACCTTGGGGACTCTACGAATGGGTCAGGATCCCGTTTGGGTTGACCAATGCGCCAGCTGCTTTTCAGCGCTACATGGAAGGATGCGTCGGGGAACTCAGAGATGAGGTTTGTGTCCCATACTTGGACGATGTGTTAGTGTTTAGCCCCACCTTTGAACAACACATCCAACATGTAAAGCAGGTACTGCAACGACAGAGTGTGGAATAAAGTTACAGCCAAAGAAATGTGACCTTTTCAAAGAAGAAGTCTGTTATGTGGGTCGCATTGTTTCTGCGGAGGGGTACAAAATGAATCCCAAAGAGGTGGAGGCAGTGAGAACCCTTGTGCATGAGACACCAGCAACGGTGAGGGACGTAAGAAAACTCA